CGGTCTACGAAGGGGTATTCGTCTCAGGAAGCTGAACAAATACAAGATACATGCGCTTCTTGAGCTTGAACATTGAGACAAACAAACATCCAAAGTCAGGCCACCGGCAACTCCCGACAGTCTTTCCTCAGTACACAGTCACTCGCCGAAAAGCTATCCCACACATCCAAAAGTTGGTTTTATTCACTTATTTTACCGCAGGCGTGTAAAACGCCAAAACACATGACCTCGCTGACAAATCAACGAACCCGGCGCGTCTAACACTTATGATAACGCGTCGTCCTTGGTTTCAACGCGCCGATCTGCAGCTCGCGTTCCGTCGTCTCTGCATTGCGAATACCTGCATCCAGGGATTGGCGCCACTTGCGAGCACTGAAAGCACCCCACAACGGAGCTCGCTGAGCTCCTTTTGTTGCCACGTCGCGTCCCAACAACCTCGCGCTGTTGCGACGCGATTCCGTCGAAATTCGTTGTGCAGACACGGCAGAAAGACGGCGTTATCCATGTTCTTTAATGTATAGTTGTATATACGCTCACTGTGTAATATAAGTGCTACAATTTGCTTCATTAATGGCGAATTTGATCGAGTGCGCCCGCCTGTACTGTTCAAGTACAATTCTACTGCCGGAGCTCTCAGCCACCCGTAAAATAAAGTGCGGCGGGCACTTTACCGCAACTTTTCCGTTCTTTTCCTGTAAAATGCTGCGCGCAGCGCGGAGAAAAATGGCATTTTTGGCTCCCTTCCCTTCAAAATCTTGCTTTAATTTTAGCCTCACACTCACACCACTATCTATGCTACTCCAAATGCTCCTACAGGTATGTATAATGTTGCTAACTTGCCACTTACAACGCGCTGCCTCACTCTCGGACCAGGGGCGCTGCCCTAACAAGGCAGTGTGACCGTATGTCACATTACACAATCACACCGCTCTTTGTCTTCATCCAAGCCGCATGGTTGGCTCAACGTCGACGGGTCTTGTCTACCATGGCTCAGGCCCTTTGGGTGGATCTGAGCTAGATCCGGCGCACCATGCTTCAAGATCTGAGCTAGATCTGCGGTGTTCCCCGTAGCCTTTCTTTGGTTGCACTGCTCTTCGTCCTGCACTAATACTATCATCATCATCATCCAGCCGCCGTTCTCAGCCTCACTCCCAGATGTACTCAGTACATTTTTAGAAGATACGGTTATCAAGTGCGTTGTTGTCTCTCGCGGTCGCGTCGTTCTCTATGCTGACACATTATCCCTTCTCATTTACGTCAACCATCCGCTCAACCAATGTTGTCTTGTATCCCTAGCCCAATTCCTACGTCAATGTCATGTCTTCTCTCTCAGCGTCGTTTCAGCGCCGAGAACGTGCTCCGTTCAAATCCGGGCCCAATTCGCACCATACATTCAAGCCTTCCTGCCATTCCTGTATCCCGCCCTCAAAGCACACGAAGATACCCAGTTGTGCATGGTCGCCGTTGGCACCAGTTCTCACCCCTCTCGTCAACCAGGCGCTTCTCCCGTCGCATAAACAACCCCACTCATCACCCTAAACCTTGGGCCATCCGTCCGAGCGAGCGCAATAACTCCGGTGAGTTATTTATTTATTTTTATTTGCACTTCACTTCCTGGTCCGACACGCCTCTAGGAGGTGACTCTGAGCACTTAAGCCTGACAGCTTTTAACTTTTATCATATCGGTTCCTACTACCTACTATGTGTACTGACTTCGTTTCTTGTACTAGGCCATTTCTAGGTGGGGTACACCTTCTGAACAGGTCTGTTTTATCGTCCTACTTGCCTGCTGCGCTAATAACCCAATACCATTATCCAGACTCGTTTCTGCTGTTGACTCTCGCGCTACTTCGCCGGTGCCTGCTAGTACGGGTAGCTGTTTGTGTTCCTGCAGATATTCACAATGTGGTTCAACGCCTACCTGATCGCGAACCACCTGCATGGCTAAGCCTTCCTCCAACTGCAGAGCGTGTCATTGCTGTAGCGCAAGGTATACAACATATACCTACACCACTACCTCTCTGATTGCTTCGTTTTGAAGGTAATGATCTGCTTAGTAAATTGCGCAAGATGCGGACTCTAACAGATGATGACGAGCTCGGGAGTACTGCACTGTGTTGGACCGTTTTTCGCGCCTGTGGTTGTTCAACTTGTTGGGTATATTTCAATTTCGAAGCAAGGTCCATTTGAATTCGGTTTGTGCACGGGGGTCCCAGGGCGTCCAAAGTTGCTTTGAACCCTGCCAGTAACCCGTGCATCATACAGACCTTGGCCAGGGCGTCCAAAGTTGCTTTGAACCCTGAGCCGCCCTGTAATTCATTTTATATGGAACCTTGCTGGATTCATCAGTAAACTAAAACGAGCTGTACAGAGCTGTACAGTATCCCAGCTCCCTAGCTTGGTCCCTACTACCTAGCTTGCTACAGTAGCAGACTATTTTGTCAATCTCTGTACAGATGCCCACAGACATGCCCAGCAAGCACGAAACAGCCCTCAAATAGTACCAATTTCCTCTGTCTATGTCTGTACAGACCCTCACAGATCACTCAAAGAACGTGATTTGTGCAGACAACTTGCTCCTGGTCACGGCATTCACTCTATACAATAGCATAGCCGCAAAAATATATTAAATCTTGCACGCAGATACGAGCACACAACAGTAGTAGTGGATATGGCAATCAAGAGAAATGATACAGAATACGATACGGGTGAGCAAAGAACTGTGATTCGAGCACGAATCTGCACGATTTAGTCTAGAATCACCTGGAGGTGGTCGTGTCTCGCCTCCGCAGCACTGCCGTCGAGCTTGATATTTTCAGCCCTGCATAAATGAAATCAGTTTAGAGTTTTTCATACAACAAGAACTCACCATCCAACTTCAGCCCATTCTCGAAGCTGTGCTAACAATCTAGGGCCGTGATATTCGTTCTTGAGGGTATCTTTGATGATTTGGAGCATTTTGCGGTAGACGGGCGAGTAATCCTTCGACGAAAAATTCGGATAACATTTACCAGTACCATTCTTCTCAAGACCATCAAAAATGCAGTGGAACTGTGGAGAGAAAAATCAACACATAAGCTTGACATCAGCGGGAAGAGAACACATTACCGCTGTGGCAACTAAGGCCAGACACGATATGGGTAGTTGCGTGCGGAAGTGATCTGGCTGCCTCCGCGCGACCCGGTAAGGCCCCGTGTAAAAAAAGGCTACACATGTATCACGGAGAGCAGGATGAGCCAGATTCCTCGTTCTCCCCTGTAGATCCTGTTCAGTAAGGTTGTGATTGGCATAAAACCACTCACATTCTCATCTGTTCCAAACCATAAAAACGAACCACCCTTCAGTAAATCTCCAGCGGCACTTTCGATCCAAGTCGCACGTTGTTGAGGAGGAACGGAAGACGGAGGAAAAAGTGAGTATGATAGGGGTGCAATACTTATCGCAGTTTTCTTCAGATCGGATCGCCAAGTCGACAGGTCGTCGTACAACTTGAGTACAAACCTGCGATGTGCGTCAGCGAGGCATCAGCACAAATGTAAGCAATCCACTCACCAACCGCGTCATGTTGTATTGCTGCTCTGGCCAAACCCCTGCATCGAGATAATAAATACATTAGTTCGACAAAAAAGAAAGAGCACATACCAGCTTCGAACTGTTTACCACTTTTGTCCCATGCGACCAAAACTGAAAGTAAAACCTCGGAGATGGTTCCTGGCATACCCTTGACTAAAGGTGGAAATGGATTTTCCAGGGCATGCTGACCACGACACTCCCCTTTGGCCTCCTCAAGGAAACTTTTCCAGTGTGGCCCGTACCAGGCTAGTTGATCAGGCCTTGGTCCGCTTTCAGGCCCCTTGGACCTTTTGCTTCTCGACCGACCCTCAGCTCGGTCGGCAGACTCAGACACTTGATTCAACAGCTGGAGTGAATCAGGGTCGGGCAAGCGGGGCTGACCGTTTTTGTCATGGTGACGCTTCAATACGTCAACGGGCTTCGAGGTAGTAGTCTACAAAAAAAACATGAGCCTCATCTAAGACAAGTGTACACCCTCACCTGAACATCTGAGTGTTCCTGCCGCACTCCCGGCAAAGTGTCCATAGGCTTAAAAGGCGAAAAACTGTGAGATGATCGAAATGAGTAATTAAAATTGTACCTGGTTGCTGTTGTTGAGACGCATCTGGGCAGAGTCTTCATCTTCATCGCGTGAGAATTGGAATTGGAAGTCTGGCGTGAGAGGGCAAGTGACTCGAGCCTGAGGAGGTAGTGTTTCAGCCGAAAATCCTGTAGATGTAAAATCAAGTCAGTCAAGGTACTCTGGATATAATTTTTTTACCTGGATGTTCTTTCTGCCGTTGACGAGCCTCCCCCCCAACCAAACTGCTGTGACTCATTATTCTCTCCTTCATCCTCTTCGTCTTCTTCATCTTCATCTTCATCATCATCATCATCATCATCATCATCATCATCATCATCATCATCATCATCATCATCATCATCATCATCATCATCATCATCATCATCATCATCATCATCATCATCATCATCATCATCATCATCATCATCATCATCATCATCATCATCATCATCATCATCATCATCATCATCATCATCATCATCATCATCATCATCATCATCATCATCGTCTTTATTGGTACCAGTGCCACTGGATTCGCTGTCCTCCAAATCGGATCCTACCAGCCTTGCATGAAGTAGTATTACCACGGTTCGGCTATGGTCGGCTCCAGTTCGGCATTTGCCGGTTTGCCAGAAGTTTGGCAATTATCGTGAGCCAAGCCACTGATTAGTGACTCGGTCCGATTTGTAAGCCAAGCAAACTGGTTTCAACCAAAAATGTGTGAATCTTGGCTTGAACCGCTTTAAGCTGGCTCAAGCCAGTCCAGGCTGAAATGCAAAAGTGGCAGTTGGGTGGCAGAATATTATTCGCTTTCCTCTCAGTTAGTTGATTTCACGTTATTTCTACTTAGGCTATTGTATACATCATGGATAAGGTCCCTACTCGAGTTGATGGAAGGTTTAGGCTGGGAGACGTGTTGGGGTCTGGCTTGTACGGTATGTCATTCCCATATCACTGACTACATGTTGATTCAACATTTGGACCGCATTTAGCTGTTGTGTATCGCGCACGGAATATCATCAAGGATAATGCAGTCACCATCAAGCTTGAACCTATCAACCACTCATCTTCCGTGCAGCGTGAATACCGCATTTTGAAAAACCTTGAAGGTGGTATTGGGATTCCCCGTGCCCTTTGGTTTGGTAGGGAGTCGGCCTATCACGCTCTAGTTCTTGACCTCCTTGGGCCATCACTGCATCATATCTTCCTTGCCCACAACCGAAAATTTAGCCTTGACACTGTTGTAAATCTAGGAGACCAGCTGGTCAGTCAGTGTGTGTATTGCCATTGCACGCGCAGATCGCTAACCCCATCTCCCAGCTTTCACGTCTTGAATACATTCATTCGCATAATTACATCCACGGTGATATCAAACCACAGAATGTTGTAGTGGGCCTTGGCGATTTGAAGCACACCGCCTTTCTCATCGATTTCGGCACCACAAAGGAATTCTGGAACACATCGACCGGAGTCCATATACCATTTTGCCAAGGTCAATGTCTTACCAGCACTCCTGCATTCGCGTCAATCAACGATCATTTGGGACTTGAACTGGGTCGTCGTGATGACCTTGAATCACTCACCTACATGTTAATATACTGTTTTCAGGGCTCTCTTCCATGGTTGACCAGTGACCAAGAGAAGCTTTCCAGCTCTTCCATACTGGAGCGCAAAGTCAACACTACCATCGAAGTTTTGTGTCAAGGAATTCCTGTCCAATTCACAACGATTCTCATTTACACGCGTGCTCTCGCATTCTCAGAGGACCCTGACTACAACCATATTCGTTCCTTACTTCGTGTACTTCATTCTACATCACCTGCTCCAGCAAGCACAGAGCTGGATTTCGGCAAGCCTGATGTGCCTACCACACATCCCCTTCCATGCTATGATGAACCCTGGGAAATCAAGGCAGTGCCTTCAAGTCCATGCCCGCCCCTTCGTAGATCGTCTCGTGTGTCAGTAGTCCATTTTATGGCCTCACTTTTGAACTGACATCATTGCAAGGTTACGCCCACATAATCACTCCTCCACATTGCGTGCAACTGCCTCAACTCCACGCCGGAAAAAGGCCTAGTTTATATACCATGACACCGTTATAGTGTTACTTGTTACTTGTACATACGACTGTATATGCATACTATGTGAGCTAATGATTCTATCATGATAGGTTTCATAGCAGCGGCAGGAGCACAGCCTTTGAGCCTATGACTAATATCAAGACGGTATCTCATTTCTCCAACTCCCACGCACGGTGCAACCTCTTATCTTTCAACATGCTGCAGGCAGCAGTGCAACTCAGCAATGAGAGACTCATGGTGACTTTCTGAAGAGTCATTAAGCCTGAAAATGAGGATCTGATTTCTGATTTCCTTGATCATTCAGTCACACGGTCACCCATGGGCCACGGTCACCCACTGTCTGCACAAGGACCTTATTCCATCCATTCTGTTGTGATCTAGAGAGCCTCTGGGCCCTCTGCTGGAGTCAATCGCCTCTAGTAAGTCCCTATCTCAAAATTGCATTAGTTTTTTTTGCTCCTCAAGGCTCTTACTCATCTGACTCGCATATAGCATTAAAACATCAAGGCTACTTCGCTAGCGACACCTATGGATTTTCCATCAGGGACTCGCAATCACTGCACGTTGGCGTGCTCTGGGGTTTCCCATGGTGAAAACCTATATAGACAGGTAATTCTGACATTAGATCCTTCAGCACAACCATGCCTCCTCGACGGAAGAACACTTCCCGGGTTGCTCCCAAAGCCGCTCCTGCTCCCATTACTGCCGCTCCCATGGCTGCCACTCCTCCTACTGCAACTCCTGCTGTCGCTCCCATTGCTGCTGCAGCGAATGCGTCCGTGCTTCAAAATCCCCCAAGACGTCGTCAGCTTCCTGTTAGATTCAGAGATAATGGTTCAAGTCCCACTGCAGACGAAGGGGAATCCTTTCACCTCGAGAACATCTCCGATGATGAGGAAGACGAAGTGGCTAACCCTCCTGCACTCACAGTAACGCCTGTTGCATGCCCTAGTCCACTCCAGACTGCGATGAATACTGCCAGAACTGACCCTCTGGCCACTGGTGGCCGAGCCAAACCACCTAAATCCTCTGCCGACATTCATTTCTTCTACAGACAGGACCCTGTCACTCAGTCTAGAATCTGTAAAGCCTGCGAGTGAGTATTGTATTTGCAGTCTATCATTTTTTCTAACATAATTTGCAAGAGAAATCCACGCTCATGACAATACTCATGCTGTTGTATCATACCTTGCTACTACAGGCACTACAGGTCGTCGGACACACGCATTCAACGAGCATACCATCATTTATTTGGAAGAAGCAGAGCGCAACCACTGGCACGTCCATGCTTCATCGCGTTTGAAGACATTTTTGGATGATGGCTGGATGATCGCGACCTTGCATCAACAGCTCAAGGATCCGGCTTACACCTTGGACTCACTCGGTACTCCCCCAAGTCCTAGCTCACTCACCAGTACCAGCCTGTTAGCTCCAGATGACGTACTGCCTAACTTTACCCTGGACGAAATGCATAAACAGATCGTGAGATTTATCGTTGCCGATGATCAGGTGAGTTGATGCGCACTTTCTACATACTATAGTCAGTAATTGTTTTCAGGCAATCAGCGTTATTGAATGCCCAGAATTTCGCTGCCTGATCTGTCTTCTGCGGCCATCGCTCAATGAGACTGATGTCTTTCATCGAACTAAAATACGTGAATTGGTCATTGATGCTTTCCATGAGCACTTCAATGCTTTGAAGAGGGACCTTGCGGTAGGTCTACAGTTGTCGAGAGCCCTGCAAAGCATCTTATATTCTTCAGGCTGCACTGGGAAAGGTTTCGTTCACATCGGACCTCTGGTCGGATTCTAACCTTTACCCATTCATGGCTGTTACCGCCCACTGGATTGCTAGGGCAGACCATAGTTCAGTCCTCGTCTTGAACGCAGCATTGATAGCCTTCCATCACGTCCCAGGAAGTCACACTGGAGAATTGCTAGCAGAAGTAATATTGCATCTTCTGGATCGTGCCGGTGTGACCAAGAAGGTTAGTGTTTAGTTGTGCTGTGTAGCATGCTCTAACTTTGTTCAGACTGGTCATTTCACCTTGGACAACGCCTCCAACAACCAGGTTGCCATGCGGGAGCTGTCCCACAAACTCGAGTCCCGGGGGATTGATTTCCCTCCCATTGACCGCAGAATCCTGTGTTTCCCCCACATCATTAACATATGTGTGAAGCACATCATCGAAGAATACCACACAGCTGACTATTCGCTTGTGCCCGACCATTGGGTCATTGGCAATTGCACTATCGTAAAAGCGGAGTATCTCAAGGCCGTGTCAGGGAAAGCTATTCTCAGAGCTAGGGACGTTGTGCGCACAATTCGCGCATCTAACCAGCGACGTGATTTTTTCAGGGACACTATCGTCACAGGTAACGAGAAGGAGTGGTTTCAAGATGACGTGGGTGCGAAACTACGGCTCCCCGTTGTCGAACTCCTGCTTGATGAGTCAACTCGCTGGGATTCGGTCTATATCATGCTTAATCGTTTGCGAACCCTTCGCCAGGTAAGACATCACCCACTAAACATCTGCCATGACTAATAGTCGCCCAGGCAATATATTTATTCTTTGACTCTCCTACTCAATGCTCTATCAGCAAATTCAAACTGAGTTCAATGGAGTGGCAGTTCTTACAGGACGTTGAAGTAATCCTAGAGGTCAGTCTTAGTATATTCAAAATTCACGCTTCGTCTGACTGTCATATCAGGCGCCCCATGCTGCCCAACAATGCATGTCAGGCGAACGCACTCCCAAGCTGAGCGGTGCATTTCCAGCGTTCGAAATGTTTATCGAGCGCTGGAAGCTTTTGGCCCAACATGTCCCACACTGTGACCCTCTTGTCCAGATCGGTTTAGATTGGGCTGATAAGTATGACGAGAGGATGGGTGCCACAAATGCCTATGCAGTTGCTATGTGTGAGTCCATCGATATCTTCTAGTAATGTATGGTTGCTCACATTTGAGTTCATCAGTCGTCGATCCTAGTATCCAAATGTCGTGGGTTCGGAGTCGTTGGGGGGAAAAAATGAATAAAGATGTAGATGAGCATATAATCCATCTGGTACGTCTACCATGCAACTTCAAAGGTCAAACTGATATCATCTCATGTAGATGCATCAAAAGCGAGCTGAAAATGGCTCAGCATATGTAGGCCCTTCAGCTAATGAAGTAGTACTTCGAGAACAACCACGCACGCTAGGCTCGCGCCTCTATGGACTACCTGACGTCAATGTCCTGCCGCGTCACGACAGTATTGCCCAAACGGTCAAGCAAGAGTTTGAGGCCTACGCTACGGCTAATCTTAGCCCCAAGACAACGGACATACTTGCGTTCTGGGAGGTGAGCGTCCTGCGTCTCCATATGTTATACCTTTTGTCACTGACCACGAGGTGTTGACCAGGTTGCAGAGAAATCATTTCCGACAATTTTCGGCATTGCAATGGACCATCTCCCAATACAGGCCTCTGCTGTTCCATGCGAGCGAGTCTTTTCATCTAGTAGCGAAACTGACACCAAGAAACGTAATCGCACAAGCCCGGTCCTGATGGAGGCTCTGCAGGTGGTAAAGTTCCTCCTGAAAAAAGAGCGACTCAACTTTACCAAAGGTTGGGCAGCATCGCAGAAGGATATGGAGTACAAGACGTTGCGCGAACGACAGGAATCCAACAATGTTTTGACATTAACTAACAGTGGCATTACAGGTGATATATGTGACAATCTTCTCAGAGCTATCGCAGAGGATGAGTGTGACGACATCGATGATTTTCCTACTACCTATGAGCTATGATGTTTGCTTCCCCTACTTATCTCTTGTTTGCCCTATCTTTACGTGTTCTAGCTGCCTGGCTGTTTGCAATAGTGAACTTGTTCATTATTCGACTTTCCTTGACAGCCTGCGCTTCATCTCGACAGGCCAAGTGCTCTCTCGGTCTTCACAAGTACTGGCTAATCACCTCTACTCACACTTTGCAGTGCACCAACACTCATCAAACATTGCAGATGTCTGTCCAAACAGTTTGGACTTCTCAATCATCATAAACTCTGAAACCATCGCCCAGGAGTTACTAGAAAAGTGTTCCGTGAATTACTCTACCCGTCCCGTTATTCGCACCACCGAAATGTATGTATTGCCAGTTTTCATTTAATTTGTTCCTCATCCACTGAGGATACAGAGCTGGACTGGCTTTCAGTTCTGCACTGCTTCCGTATGGGGAGACTTTACGACAACATTGCAAGATCTACCATCAAGCCCTTAGGGCCGAGGTCTCGGTCTCGTACCACGAGATATACTCTTGCCAAGCAAATGGACTAGTCATTGATCACCTAGGTGCCACTAGTCACTCACTGCAGCAACACGCTGAAGCATTCGTACCTAATCCAGTGACATCGTTGTGACATATGGTCCCGTTGACGATCAATCCTTGTGACAGATACGCTGGCTCCCTAATCATGACCGTGACATATGGACATCTCGCTGATGAAAGCTTATTTCTTTCCCGTGCGCACGAAATCGTCAATGTCGGAAAACAGGCTCTCTCTCCTGAGAAGGCTGCCATGTTCACAGCCTTTCCTTTCCGTGAGTGTCTCTGTCGACGACATGATATTGAACATTCAGCATGAGGTTGCAGTCAAAAAGTTGCCGTTTGGTGCTTTGGTGGAGCATTTGCCATGATGGGACGTTGTAGAGAATTAAGTCAACAACTTTTGAATGAGCCCTTTAATGAAGTGAAGGCGCAGAGTGTACGTTCGCGTGGACTTGTGGGTGGAAATTACGCCTGATCTGTTTGCATGAAGGCAGATGGTACTGCTTTGCACTCATCAGTTGCTGACTTTCTCAGTCAAGCTCACGACAACACTGACGAAGACATGATGAAGTCTGTTGCGTAGACGGGATACTTAGGTAAGAGTTTACTTTTATCAGGACAGAGTTCATCCATTGATGAGAAGACGACATCTTAGCTGGCATGGAGGTCATCATTGACACAATCGTGTACAGACACTTTCTAATCTATACAGCTCTCCCTACAACAGCCGCTTCTATCCCTGCCTCCCCAACATCCTCAACAACCAAGATCGCCACCTTGATCTCCCCAGCACCTGACCTCTCTCCCCTCTTCTCTCCCCTCCTCTCTCCCTTCCCTCCCCTCCTCTCTCCCTTCCTCCATCCCCTCTTATTTCTCCTCTCCTCTCCTCTCTCCTCTCCCTTTCTCTTCTCTGTCCTGCCGCTCAGCCATCCGCTGCTCTCGTAAGTGTCGTGCACGAGCAGCACTGCCATACAACTAACATATGTTTAGCTTTCGATTGAACATTCATCAGACGATTCGGACCACGTACATTATCTTGGGGACCCATATGTACTTGAATAGTTATGTGTTGAGGGATGATGAGTGTAGATTCAGTAGTAGACTGGTAGTAGATTGCTATGATATCGATCTATCAGCTTTGTCGGCGGTAGATGTGAAGTCGAATTCTATTTTTAGTAAGTTATTCTTGGCCCTGTGAGAAGGCGCTCAATTTAGTTGCCGGCGGGCATCTTAGACTTATGTTCAGTCTGATCGAGAATATTACAACCAAGGATACCGCTCAAGGTGCCGCACGGGTACTGACTGCCATGTTCGAGACTTGTGTCGACAAAGTCGAGGCGATGACACTGGTCTTGGACAACGCACTTGAGAGGTTAGAGAAGGCTAAGAATGGCGAAGAGGAAAGCGTCGACTTTCTGCTGATAGAGAAGACGCGACCTGTTGCAGGTGCTGCCTATGCAACTGAGAAGCCAGAAGAGGTTATTCATGGTGAGGAGACTTTCGATGTGCGCGAATTACCCTTTGACACCCTTGGTTATAGAATGTCGGTTTCTCTTCCGAACCCTGAGATTTTCTTGTGCAACTACACTCATGAGCTGTCGCGCTACTCGGACGCACGGCATGTTCACCTCACCACAAGTTGTCTCGCAGATAGTTTGTATATCCAATTGCTCAGCTGAGCTATGGATTCAACTACAAGGTGTGTTATTAATCTTCTTATGTTCTCATGCATTCTCAATGTCTCCCCACCTCCTCCAGCTGCTTTGACACCTACACCTACATATGGCCATCGTTATTCCTCGCTGCCACAGCCTGCTTTCCCTCCACCCAACTCTTCCTACATCACACCACCCATCTATCCCCCTTTATCGTTCTTTGCACGCACCCGCCTCTCCCTCTCTCAGACTCCAGACGAAGGGCACGTTCCAACCGCATGAAACCAGCCAGACGGAGCACGAGATGTGTCAGTATCTGGAGTGGGAACTCAATGTGGATCCGGTGACGTTCAGGGAGTTCGAAGACATGGTCAAGAAGTATCTGGTACATCAACAACTTTACCCTTCTCACATTCTTCCCTCATCATCCCAGACAACTCCTCCTCCTACCACAAATCCCTTTCTGCCTCCTCCAGCCACTTTGGCACCTACACCTACATATTCTTTGCACCCACCCGCCAAAGCCTGATTCCCCCCGCCCAACTCTTCCTACACCACACCACCCACATTGTTGTCATCAGCGGCATCTCCTCCAACATCCCCAGGTATGGAGGACTGCACGGCTCGCATCATTTCAGCTTCGTCTTCACCAGGTATCCCAAAACACGAGCCTGTATGGCTGTACCGGTAAATTTGTTTCTATTATCACCCGCTACCAATTTTCTGTAGTACATTCTCGTCATGCGTAGTACATCCATTCTCATCCTATCTCACCACTAAAGAAACCACCACATATCGAGAGCATAGACTTGTGTCATTGCAATACAATTTTATTTATATATATATATATATTATTATTATTATTATTATTATTATTATTATTATTATTATTATTATTAAAGCTGGCTTGAGCTGGCTTTAAGACCTTAAACGCGGCTCCATAGACTAGACCAAACTACTAATTACATAAGCTATAACTACATACATGGTTTGGCTAACTACAGCTCTGCTCGCGGCTAAAGCCGGCCACAAGCCAGAGCTGCGGCAACACTAGCATGAAGTGTTTGCCTAACAATACCTTCTTCCTTACGTAGGGCCGGATCCAGGTTGTCTGAATATGTAGCACCTAGTAGAGGTTGAGAACTGTGAGCGTGATCGACAAGAGCATTCTGATTGCGCTTCTCCGCAATGTTCATTCCCATGGCGATATATGGATCATTTAAGACTTGAGGATTGGACTTTGCATTACTGGGAGGGATACGTGTGGTGGTCGAAGGCGCAAAGCCAAACCTCCCACCACTTTGCTGCGATAAAAAGCTAGGTACTAGGGTACTAGCATCGAGGCTTGATGAATCAGGATTATATGGTGGAGGGGGCACCTAGACACACAATCAATACAATCATTAACAAAAATTGTTGCTGTACCTTTGAACGATTCTTCCGTTTACGAGGCTGGCTCTGGAGCCTGGGGGTTCACCGGATTGAGTGCATCAAGAGACGTAGTGCCCTTAGGTTTCCGACTCAATGACTGAGACTCTAACACTAAGCCAATCTTCTCCAGCTGGGCATTCCTACCTCCAGTTCCCGCATTAGGGCGACCAGAACGTCGAGGAGCGCCCATCACATCAGCTTCAGTAAGACCGAGGGATACGAGTGGCGTGCTGGGGATAGTATCGGTGACATTGGCAGTGCAAGGCCTCTTCGGCAAAGCAGCCTTTGAAGCGTCTGAAGCTTTGCACTTAGACCTTTTCTTCTTGGGACTGGCTACTGCGCGAGGAGGCATGTTGCAATACAGAAAGCAATGAGATGAAGGATCAAGTTGATACTACCAGTACTCACCATTTTATACACTGGTACGCCATGGCGGAAGGATCTGTGTAGCCTTCTCGGAAACTTAGAGTATTTGGTTTGGTGGTGTGCAGGGCGCGTAACTGATGCAGGTAATAAAGGACCATGTGTTCATGAGTAATACTAGATAATGCGCACCTTGAGTCAAAGTGTAAGTGTCTTGTTACGTGCTGAAGTTCTATGTTCAAGTAACATATTATATAATCGAAACAACGAGTCAGCGACAAACTACAACAACATCCAGCAATAAATTTAGTTAGTACTACTGTGGTGCCAAATATGTCATATGCGGTACTCATCCGAGAGATAGTAATGATAAAAACACATAAGATTACACCTGCCCGTCTGACTCGAAAATGTCATCCGATTTCTTCCGCTTTGGTGATCCCATGGGCAAAGATAGAGAGGCAACACATTTCAACTTGCTGAGAGTGACGGCAGACTCCTTGAGTGTGGTCATACTGGATTGGAGCTCCTCATCATTGGGAAGCTGATCCAGATGAGAATCGAGTATGTGAAGAATGGCATCAAAGGTAACAGGATGAGCCATGTTATCCTTTAACGCTGCATACCAATCTTTTGCAAGGGGGATAAGAGGTTTAAAATACGGGTGGAATTGCACGTCAGAATGCCTGTTTGGGAGAAAGCTGGAGACCCTACTCAGCTTGGTGGTGAGTTCGTCCTCAGGCCAGGGTTAGTCTACATTCCAGATGTTTTGCTGACGCGAACTTATCCATGTTGTAGAATGACAGCATCGTATGCGCACCGAATGCGAAGTCGCAGCTCACATGCGCCTATCGTTCGGGTGCTCACAGCTGCAGGGGTGCATGTTTATCTCCGTAGTGAGAAGCCAAAATCTGTCATCTCATCTGATCCTGCCGGCCAGGCCTCTCTTGTCCTTGAGGTGGATGAGGAACAATGGATGGAGGAGTGACGCCGTGCCAAAAAAAGCTCTTCACTCGCCTGTGTTCTTTCACTATAGTGGGATTTGGTTTCCACCTGCAATGGCATGACATGGAGATGGTTCGTTTTATCTCACATATACCGCTACCTCTTCAACTCATCTTCGTGACAGCTGTTATCTGCTCTCTGTGATGGACCGAGCGAGCCTGACATTCTCAAGAAGGTGTATAATATTGCGGAGACCAATGAGAGGGTGAGGTACCATGTAAATAGGGACTCTCTTAAGTTTTAGTCTCTTGGCAATACACCTATTCCTCCTCCTCTGATTTGATGCTGTCTTCCTTGACACTATCATCCATAATGCTGTCGTCCTCAACATTGTCCTCCTCTGTCCTGCTCAAGATCTCAGCAACGGCGTGCACCTCGGCTGCCTCCCTCATTGCCTCAATGACCTCAACCATTTTCTCATAGCTTGAGAGGTACTTGTAAATGGTCCTGATCACATCTGCCTGAAACCCTTGCTGGACTGCGAGCGATTGGACTAAGGCATCGAAGCCAACCTGGGCAAAGTGCGCGATGTCACCCTCATGTATGTCGCTATGAGTGGTGGATGTGCCTGAAGCTGTTGTAGTAGAATGTGTGCTGGGCTGTTGTCCTCTCGCACTGTTTTTGAAGAACGTGAGCTGGAGCATTGTGGCTGTAGAGGTGTGCGTCAGTGTGTAGTCCATATGCTACGCTGTGATGAGTGCAAACCAGCGCTGTTGTTTGATGCTGTGGAAAAAGGTGAAGATGCAGCCAGTAGCCCCTTTAAGTGTTTGAAGCTATATGTACTGACTCCTATAATTCATATCTAGAGTGTGACACCCTGCTCGTACAACAATCCTAGGCTACAGGTTTTATGGAATGCTAACAGATGGGTCGTGGAACGACGAAAAATATCACAGCCTCTGTCAAGAATCCAGGGAGGAAGGTCGCTACTGCATCAACCTCCACTCTAGAAGTGCAGTGGGAGGAAGCACGACAGTCCCTGCTGAAGGCAAAGGGAATGCGGTCTCAATACAGTGGCCATCTGGATCGTGACCGTCGGTTCCTGAGAGATGTGGTTGAGCAGAAGTGCAAGGCTCACACGGACAGCACAAGTGCTCAGTCACTGGCCCCAGAATGTGACTCAGACGAGGACATCGAGACTTACAGCCATGCGTTTGATCCCATCCCGAACCGATACTCCGCACCTGCGCTGGAATTGTTCCTCGTTCAGAAGGGTCTGACGGAGGGGAGGGGGATAAGCACAACATGGGGCGTGTTCTCAGCATTCAAGGATCTGTGGTGGAATGTGTGAGTGTTTCTTGTGTGCAGTACCTTGATTGACTCTCAGTCACTAACATCTTGATGTGCAATGTGCCGCATACAGCAAGGGCGAGACATTCCGTAGGCCATATCACTGCAATGAGGTGACTGGAGTTGTGACAGGGAACCCTGCCTTATCAGCCGCAGTGCAAGATATGATGGAGATCCTCAAGAACAATGAGGGTGCTGAAGGCGGTACGAGAAACCATGCATCAGCAATGACAATTGAGGACATGCAAAAGCTCATGTCCTGGTCCTATGACCAATGTCCTGACAAGCTTGTGAGCCAGATTTATCAGTGCCTTCGGACAGGGGAGGTGCTTGACATAGCAGATGTGGTTCTGGCTCAGCACCACCTGATGGTCCGAGCTTTCTCGACAACTGGATTTACTACTATCTGGACAAGGTCAGTCCCAGCTGCTGATCCAATATCTCTTGCTAACCATGATGCCACACAAGGAACTTCGAGCTTACGAAGATCAAACACAGGGACATCGTCTGGAACTGCCAGGGGCGACCACCCTATGGCATCCCTTTCGACCTCGTCAGCCTACTCAATCGCAAGGGCTGGCAGCAAAAGGGGGAGACTGACGGCGCACTCGAAGGTATGTCCAGGCACATTGCCCACCTGCATCTCAGATACACTGTGCTAACATAGTGTACTACTAGGTCACAAATATGAAGTCTACGCCCAGCCACATACCCCAGAGATCTGTATGTTCACCCATTTACGTGCCTGGGTCAAATTCCTGGAAGAGGTCCTGCTTTGACGCCCACTGCAATCCGATGAATTTGTATTCCCTTGTGTAGGCACCAATGGTGTCGTCTACCCAACTGATGAGCTGTCGTATGATGCCGTGATGAAGATGCTCACATGGATCTGCACAGAGGCAGCGCTGGCATCTAGGTACACGAGTCACTGCTTCCGTCGAGGTGGTGCGAGGTACTGCTTTATGTTTGTGCCGCTCGGTCAGCGCTGGTCACTGGCAACAATAAGGTGGTGGGGGGCATGGGCAGAAGGAGAGAGTGTGAGTACATTGTATTTGGCATATTTTGCCTGGCCTCACCAGTATCATAGGTTGACACCCTGATTCGCTACCTCTTGGATGAGCTCACCCGCTATGAGAAGAACCATTGTGATGCCTTGTGCCCGATTCCACGCGAGGCTGAAAGAAGCTTCAATGGGGATCACATACTCACTGCACCTGTCACTGCCGCTGAAACTCGGGAGCTGAAGATGTCCTTTGACCATCAGCTAGATTCCCTATCCGGCAAAGTTGGGGCTGTGTTGGACAAGCTTGCACTTGCCTCAGTATCACCATCCTGCTGCTCCTCCCTGTCTCCATCACCCTCTCTGGAAATTCCCTCGTCTCGGACACCCTCTCCTGCCAACAGCCTGAGCATCCCTCCCTTGTCTGCTACTCCAAGCTCCCAGTCAAATCGAGTCGAAGTTGCAGGACCTCCTCTGGCATCTTCGTTGCCTGCCATCCCACCAGCCCATGCTCGCAATACCCATGGTGGTGCAGGCAAAGCTGCACCCATTCCAGGCGTCGGCATTCCTGACCTACCACGTGGCCCAGATGCATGGCGCGCAGCTGTCAAGCAGTGGGAAGATCCAGCTGCCTCCATTGGCGGCAAAGCATTGAAGGACTGGCCGGAGGACTGGTACTCTGGTGCAATGTGTACCATTACCGGCGTGAAGTGTAACATGCGCAAAGTGATTGCACTCGAGTTCAACCGGTGAGTTCGAGTTTAGCTCTACTACTAGTCGACATCTTGCTGACAGGGAGTGCTGCTGGACAGGATGGGGAGGGATGAATCAGCATTCCTGGTAGCCTACCCTGAGGCGAGCCGTGGTGCAAAGCCACTTTTCGACATGATCCAGCGCAAACGCGAGGAGCGCGGTGAGCTAATCGGTCGGAAGAGCAAGAACGGCCACCCAAAAGACCGTGTCACATCAGCGACCATTCCAAGCTCAGGCACCCTCAGTTGATACCCTTTCTTTTTCTCTTATTGTTTTGTCTGTCTTTGTCAATGAAACTCCTTTCAGCTGTAGGCCACACTCGACTGCACTTGCATCTCACTGCGCGCATCCCCAGTTGGATGTGTCCATGCGATCCATTTTCCATTGCACCCTCACATAATCATGCTCTACTCCTCTCCCAATCAATAATATTTCATCACTCTCGCAATGCATCAAGTTTCACACACACTTACCTGTCGAGCCTATGTACATTGTACCCCCATCAGCACGTCACACTCTTGCTGGTCGCTGGCATGACTTTCGACTTTCCCGCACTTGAACTGGATCTGTATTTTTCTTCCCATCCAATGAATGCTTGTATTTTTTCGCCGTTTTTGCTCTGTAATAACAGTCTTCGTACGTTCGAACTTCACACTACTAGTTTGAGGACACGAGAGTCGTCCGCAATTCGATTTGTTTGCCTCGTCGCCCCCGCATGACATCTCCGAGCAGCCGCGCGTTGTGACAGTAACAAATGACGACACACCTGGGTTGCCCTATTAATAAGCCTTATTATACTTGGTAGTTATGTGTCTCGCCAACTATAATTAGGCTTGGTTTCATCAAATCCCTACACCAGCGTTAAATAGTGCCCCAGCTCCTCAAAATACCTTCGAAAAAACTATGTACACCTCACTATGGTGGGCGCGCGCGCGCGCATAGGCTATATTCGGTAAGCATCCCGCCCTGCCTCAATTGCGTCATATTCCTATTTTAATTTGGCACGCTCGGCAATGCCTGCTACGCTTCCTAATTCGAACCAAGGGGCCCTTCTCATGCTTCCTAGCTCTCCTCATCACTGTGCTCATCGTCCCTGCCGTTCCCCACCTCCATTGTGCCCCCATTGTTCCGCCTTTGTCATCGTTGTCGTCAACCTCCTTCGTTCCTTCGTTCCTTCGTTCCTTCGTTCCTTCGTTCCTTCGTTCCTTCGTTCCTTCGTTCCTTCGTTCCTTCGTTCCTTCGTTCCTTCGTTCCTTCGTTCCTTCGTTCCTTCGTTCCTTCGTTCCTTCGTTCCTTCGTTCCTTCGTTCCTTCGTTCCTTCGTTCCTTCGTTCCTTCGTTCCTTCGTTCCTTCGTTCCTTCGTTCCTTCGTTCCTTCGTTCCTTCGTTCCTTCGTTCCTTCGTTCCTTCGTTCCTTCGTTCCTTCTTCGTCAACCTCCTTCGTATCTGCTGTTTCCCGCCTCCCTTGTGCTTTCGTCGCCGCCCTCCTTTGTAGCTTTGTTGTTCTCCTTTGTCCCTTTGTAGTTTGTCGCACCTCATTGCACTGGGTTATGTCATATTCTACTTGCACTGTGATATTGTAGATCAAACTAAGATGTCATTGCACTTCTATAAAAACAAACTAAGTCTATCACGAGCAATTCCATCAAGAAATGAGTTATAGCGCAGGAATAATGAAACTAGGGACATTGCTCAAAGGGGACAGGATGGCTGAGTCTGGGATATTGTTATGGTACTGGGGTGCTGCTCGAAGGGGAAAGGATGATTGAGTCTGGGGGAATTGACATTACTGGGTGCTCGGCAGTACACCCACTCGTGTTAGAGTTTGAGTTGGCATTTGGAGTGGTGTTGACATCCTCCGAACCATCTGGTGTCTGTCCAGCTGTACACCTAGTCATATTAGAGTTCGAGTTGGCGTTCGGAGTGGTGCTGACATCCTCCGAACTGTCTGGTGTCCGTCCATGACTCTGGGTATCTTCGTCGTCACTGGACTCAATGGTCTCCGCACTCTTGTGCTTCTTGCTACATCTGGGGTCAGCTATCGCATGTCGTACTCGCTTCTTACCCTTGTCGGACTGTGTCCTGCGGCGGGACTCGATAATGTCACCACTGTCAATTTTTTCATTGCGCTCGCGACGGAGTTGCTCAAGTTCCTCGTCATTCAACACTTCCCACCTTGTATCGCCCGACTTCCAACAGTCTAAAAGAGTATGGAGGTCCGGAAGCGCGTTGGTCACACTGCTGAGGTTTGTGAATGGGATATGCTCCGGCCATCCTTTGATGGCGACCTGATAGCGGTTGACCACGTTATGAAAGTAGTCTGCCCACTGCATCCTGGCATTGCTTTCTCCGGTCACCTTCCCTATGAATAAAATGAATTCTGTGCTGTCAAAAGATGGGAAAGACTTACTCAATTTCTGGGTGATGATTGCTCGAATGTCTCCACGAACCTTAGAGACCTCTTTTTGATGGTTGCTTGCGGCACCTAGTACAAATAGAAATTAACTTGAGAATGTAATAACAACGGAAAAACTGTACCTTGTATCCCTTGGATAGCGAAACCTTCCATCTTGCTGAGGAAGTCCTGAGTATTGATGCTGATGACAGAGTCCATAAAGTGATTGACACCCAGTGTTGTGAAGGTGATTGCACGGAGAGGTAGATCAGTAGTACCGCGCATCATATACAACATGACCTCAGCACCAGTGCGAGAATTTAAACTATTGAGCTAGTAACGAGACACTTAGTAACATTGTATTGCAATTCGAGGGTGTGTACCTCGTTTTCTACCGCCTTCAGGGTTTGAGTGATGTCGTTGATCTTCGACTTTGTTGAGACACGTAACCCAGAGACCTTGGTCTCCTTCTGGTCGGCGAATTCCTGGAGCAACTCTTGTTGTTCTTCCTGTGTGAGAGCGTGGTATTCGTCCTTGTGGTCGTGGACCAGTGACTGGAGTGCCTCCTTTCCGTGGCCATTGCCTGTTAATTCAACATTGAGTCATGAAAATGCATATGATACAAATCAACAGACTTACAGTTCTCTTTCTTCGCTTCCTGAGATTTCTTCCAGCAAAATGCGTTCCAAACACTGGGCTTTGAATGCTTCGAACAGAGTGATCCCCAACCCATGTATAAATCGTGCTGTACACGATGGAAGCTCTTGCGATGGGTAGCAGCAATGGTTGTTGTAACATCGTCAATTTGGCCCCATGCAAGATCAAGCGCATCCTTGAATTGACGCAACTTCTCGGTTCGCTGAAACTTGAGTGCCGTGCGAGCTTCTTTGCTGAGGGTGACCTTAGGACGACTACGAGGTGGTGCTTGAATGTGCTTCGCAGCATAGAAGGACTGGGAGACCATCACCCACAGAAGGATGGCAAAAATCAGCAAAGGGCCTTTGTAGTTGAATATGAATATTTTATACACACCAATGCATTTATTTTTTCTAACCCACGGCAAAAAAACAGGACACATGGCTCATAACTAAGACTCAAAAGGGGAAAGTGATCTACAACCAAAATAATAAGATGCCGAAAAAGTATAGGCCGCATATGAAAATCAATATACCAATAAAATTCAAAATGGACATGAGGACAGATGATGGCTGCTATGGACATTCAACTAAGTTAGTATGACAGCAGCAGCCAAAATAATATCACTGACCTTTACAACATCAGGGCTACGTGGCATGCCCTGAAGGTCAGCCAGGAGCGCCCTAGACAGAATGGAAGCATGTTCGTACGAGAGATCCCATTTTGGAGACCTGAACACTGCCTCCCATCGGCTGCTACGCACAGTTTGAACTAGAACACGGAGCTTAGGTAAAACTTCATCCCCCAACTTAATCCAATCCAGAGCGGCGTCAGTATTCGGTCCAATACTAATGAGTGGCGGTCCACATGCAGTATCCTGCTCCAGTCTTGGTACCGAAAAATCGGGCCATCATTAGTTACCTTGCCGGGTGTGAAAATTTCCGCGTGCCTGCGTCGGCGAACTCATGTGTGTTGGGTGGTCAGCTGTGGCGAAATGTTCTCGCCAATACCTTCGCTCATTTCTGCACCCCCACGGATAGCTGCAGAAGGAGCATCGTGCACCACAGTTGCTTTCAATTCTTGTGTGAAGGTATGGGCCGGTTGAGCAGAACATTGTATATGCGCTCCAGTAGCAACCACTGGGCCAGGTAGATACTGTGGGCCCTTGACATTGATATGAGCCGCAGAAACTGTTGAATTTGAGTCAGTTGTGTGAACAGTGAAGCCGAAAATGATCTACTACTTACAGCATGGTGGCGGTTGGATGTTTTCGATGACACAACATTGATTGAACCGCTCAAGGTGTGGCATTGCAAACTCCTGGGCAAATACCTGCACCCAGACGGCAAGGTCTCCGCCAATTCGCTCGGGAGTTTCTTGTAGTTCGCGGGGCGTAATGTAGAGGTCAACAGGGAGGTTTTCGGGTGAAGCGACTGCTTCAGACCCAGCGCATTGAATGAGGACAGAAATTCCGCCATCAAGGCGATCTTGCATACTCAGCTGGGAAACAAGTGAGACATAAATAAGATGTGGACACTGACTTGAATGACTCACGGCGTCGAAGACGTCTTGCAGCGATGCCTCCAGAAGCTCCTCATGGGTAAGGGATTTTTCACTGGTTCGTTTAGCAGTGCTGCTAAAGGCAAAGTACGATGGGTGAAGGCCACCAGGCAGTCTAGCCTGATAGTGTGTCCCGTCAATGTGAACGTCGTGTCTCAGTAAAGCCCTGGCGGCCACTTGACGTTCATTATTGCTGAATCCTTGAGCGAACATTGAGTTGTGTAGATTGGCAAGACTGGGGATGGCGAATTTTTCAGTGGTTGATTCCGTGGTTTGACTTGAGGGCTGAACGGAGGTGATAGATGCAGTGGCTCTGAGGCTAGAGATTGGAGTGACCATTGTGGAACCGGTGATGTAGTCTGTAGTTGTGAAGCAAGGTTAAAAGCACGGATAAGCGCCAAAATGTAAAATGTAATACTCACTTTTGCAGGCCATCCAATTCTGGAATGAGTTCCAGAAGCACAGATCAAGCACAAAATAGCAGTGGTCATAAACCATGAAGAAAATGAAAGGCTGGCGACTTCAAGTTGCTGCTATAGAATTCAGCTGAATACATGTGTTCAGCAGAATATTGCGTTGTCCATGATTTGACACTCAATACAGCACGTGAGCTCACTTTGCAAGATCGGATATCACACAACTACATAGTACAAAATAGTATACAATGCATATTCATACAGGAATGACAAAGGACTATGCTATGAATGGCATGACACTTCAGATAGCCGCATAATCCTCCAAGTCAGGCAAAGAGTCTCCCTAACATTCAAGAAAGCCTACCAGGGGTCGCCAAACTAGCCTATCTGAATATCATCGCGATGAGGTCACCACAGGAGAAAGCTTGAGATTGCCAACTAACCTATCCAAACATCATCGGCATTCAAGTTGGATCAAGGTGAGATCGCCAACTAACCTATCCGAACATCATCGGCATTCAAGTTGGATCAAGGTGGGATCACCAACTTCCGAACATCATTGGCATTCAAGTTGGATCAAGGTGGGATCGCCAACTCACCTATCCAAACATCATCGACATTCAAGTTGGATCAAGGAATTGCGACGAGGTCACCATGCAGAAAGCTCGGGGTCGCCAACTAACCTATCCGAACATCATAGGTATTCAAGTTGTTCAATTCTTTCTTATATCACCCACACAATCACTTATACAATCGTCTACCTACTCTTTCTTATATCACCGATCGAACCAGAAAACTTCTCATATATGTAGTCCTATGCGGTACATGAAAAAAACAATTACAAAGCAGAGATGGTGTCAGTCGTTTATTGAGTACAAAAAATCAGCCATGTCTTTGGTGACCACTTTGTGCTCTTCACGGTCAAGGGCTTCAATATCATGGAATTCTGATGCAGAAGAATCAGGATTCTCTGCTTGTGCTGTGGCGAGAATTAATGCGATATAGGTAGTTAAAGATCCACACTCACCGGAACTAGCACCATTGGTATTGACTGGTCTGCTGAACGCAGGATTCGCAAGGCGAGTTCCAATGCCACTAATACCAGAGAATCCAAATAGTCTCTCAATCTGATCTAACTGATATGTGTGCACAGCGTTGATAGCCGCCCGTGAGCGCCACTGGCGTTTCAACTCGGCAGCAAGCAAAGGGTTAGCTACAAGAAGTTCGTCGATAACGGCAGACGTGTCAATGGTTTCATCATGGATAGCAGTTCGGAGCTGGCGAATTTCAATATTGAGTCGAATAATTTCTTCGCGAGCTCGGCAGAGCTTGAAGTACTTTGTAGTCGCCTCACAGTGAGCTGGCCTTGCCCAATCCTTGTCTTGGATGTCAGTACGAGAGTCACACAGAAGGTCAAACTCGCCAAGGAAACTGTATTCGGCAATGTCTTTCCATGCGATCATTTGTCTCAGTGGGATGAGGGAAGCAGCCTGGATATTGTAGCAATTTATCACATTGCGAATAGCGTCCGAGCGCCGCTGTAAAGCTTTACTAATCTGTTGACGTAGTTTGTATCCTAAACAATTTGTAAACGAATCAGTCATAGTACAAGCGCTTACTAGTAGTGGAAATCTCAAACCTGTGCCCGATAACGAGAGCTTTGAGAGTTCAAACAATCTCATGACGACCAAACATTCAAGTTCATCCAATGCAGTATGATACTTGCCGAGTGTCGCTTCCTCCTTGAAACATTTGTATTCGTCACCGCCAATCAACCATCTCTCATCGACAGATAAGAGTGTTTCGCAGTGAGCAACAAGCCCCTCGGCATGCTGTAATTTGGCGTATGAAGAATTAACTCAGATGCGAGCTTGCTTCAGGGCATCATGCATCTGTTCCAAGCTGCCGATATGTACTCCATTAAGAGCGTTATTGCCAGATTCATGGGTGAGATCCCATTCAGCTCTATTAAAATTCATATCAGGGGATGGGTGGTAGTTAGTAGTCGATGGCACGATACTTCTTTCAGTGAGTTCATCTAGTACTTCAACATAACGTATAGAGAGTCGATCTCGTGGATCTGGCTGCTTCAAACCATCCAGATATATGCATTCCTGATCAAAGAATCCAGGGAAGTCGTTGTCGCTAAGGCGTAGCTCGGCCTTGATAGTTTCTAGCTCGGCTGTCTCAACGCTTCGTGATAATGAGTCCACAAATAATTACCTGACACTGCGGCATCAGTATTACAATTACAGCTTGATTTTTTGACTTACTAAGTGCAGCATACTTATCGGCATCCCAAAAAGCGAAATGCTCCTCGATGGCTTGGTGGCGATGAAAACGGTTAGCATGCCTTGTGCTATGTGCAAGCTCGTTAGATGCAGAGAAGATATGCTCACAACCCTTGCCCTCAGTATGGCCAGTTCCAGAGATATACATTGGGTGCCAGTCAAGCTGACACCTTTGATTGTGCGCATGGCCATGGAAGGCGCCAACCATCATCCGAAAGCCAAGATCGTGTGCACGAGGGCCCAACGTACTATTAGCTAACGTCTTCGAGAATGCGCAACCGATATTGTACGCGCAACCTCCATTTTTTCCATATACCGTAAGGAGTTTGTCGATGATCGCTATCGGATATTTCACACTGCCAGAATACATTAGTAATATAAAAATTAGATCAAAATGCGGTCTTACAGTTCTCCGCTTCGGATCATATCACACGCGAGAAGCACAAAGCGATGGCGGCATGAAGCGATAAAAATACCTGACTCTTGGAATATGGCAAACATCTTCTTATGTGAGTCTGGGCCAGCGTTTCTCCATTGATTGACGCATGTGAATGCTCCCGGATGATCTGGGTCTGTAGGCTCATCCTCCCAGTCGTCATCATTCCTCAAGTCTGTCTAAAAGATAATGTTAGAACATAGTTGTATACATAGTAAACACTTACTTGTCGGGATTTGACTTCATTCTCAAACTTGTCAACAGTGTCAGCATGAATCCAATAATCCGAACGAGCTGTGCGAGAATCAGATCGGGCGGTGGTACCATAGATGGACGAGTCCCATCGCTTCAGGCTATTGTTACCGTCAATTGATACCAGCCATTCAAAATCGAGGGCAGGTTCATCGTCGAGCTTGTAAAAGCATGCAGGGCATGTGTTTAACATACGCCAGTTGATGGTATCCCGTTTGAGCGCCTGACGCAGACACTGGCTGATGTGATGGAGGATTTCTAGAAAAATGTCATAGGCTGCTGAGAATTGCATTTTTAAGTATGGCCGATATGGAATCTACAAACTCAACGTAAATAAACGAACCTCAATGTGAGGAATGTACGTACATCGTGAAGGTAACATAAAGTCTTGCATTGTGATTGGATACTGAACCGGGGACACGTTCGGTGTGACTGACAGTAGGCAGCGAGTGTACAAAGCGAGATGGCAACAGAAGGATACATCGGGGCACACCCGATGTACCCATAGTAGATGAGGGTTTCATTTGGGTATTGATGAGACGGTAATGGTCGTAGATGCGAGCGCCTTCGTGCTGCAAAGAAAAAATAAGTACAAGATATCAAGGAACATTTCAGACTTACTGAATGTATCAATGAGTTCAATCTCATTAATTGAGAATGAAGCATTGACACCTGACAGGACCTGATCTGAAATATCAGGCATACCATCCCCGGAATCTCGACTGCAATAGTTTAAGTAGGCGTCAACGAGACGATCTATCTGAAGGCCCCAATGAGCGGTTTGAGTATCGATGCGTTCTCCCCAAATTCGTGGATCAATGTGATGACTACAATGGGTGTTAATATTTGAAGAGTTGTACACAGTGGTGAATACGTACTATCCAGTTAGTACCGCCAGTTGATGAGCAAGGTCTTCAAATGCCTCATGCTCCCCACCTGCGTGACTGAGGTCAAAGGCCTCTTCACCTGGAGGCACTGTATGGGTGAACACCTCCACGTCCATTCCAAAATCTGCCATCATATTTTCAACGCGGCTTCGGTCCTCTGCTGACATTTCTAATACAACAATAAGCATTAATGATAAAAAAAGAAAATAGTACATACCTTGTATAGCAGCCTGGCGGCTGGAATCTGCCTCTGCCATATGCTGGCTTTGTTTGCCGACTGCCAGGACTTTGGAATAGTGATGACCTCCTCTAAAACCATGGGAAATGATGGATTTCGAGAGCCCTTTGACCCTCCCGACACCTGAGGCACGAGGCATTACTGGGTTGGGGCGACGAAAGCACGAGGGAGGCGGGAAATGGCAGATACAAAGGAGGGCAACGACAAAGGCACAAAGGAGGGCAACGACGAAAGCACGAGGGAGTTGGGAAACGGCAGGTACGAAGGACGATGACGATGAAGGCACAAAGGAGGGCAATGACGAAAGCACGAGGGAGTTGGGAAACGGCAGGTACAAAGGAGGTCGACAACGAAGGTACGAAGGAGGTTGACGATGAAGGCATGAGGGAGGTGGGAAACGGCAGGAACGAAGGAGGTTGACGACAACGACGACAAAGGCGGAACAATGGGGGCACAATGGAGGCGGGGAACGGCAGGGACGATGAGCACAGTGATGAGGAGAGCTAGGAAGCGTGAGAAGAGCCCCTTGGTTCGAATTAGGAAGCGTAGCAGGCATTGCCGAGCGTGCCAAATTAAAATAGGAATATGACGCAATTGAGGCAGGGCGGGATGCTTACCGAATATAGCCTATGCGCGCACGCGCCCACCATAGTGAGGTGTACATAGTTTTTTCGAAGGTATTTTGAGGAGCTGGGGCACTATTTAACGCTGGTGTAGGGATTTGATGAAACCAAGCCTAATTATAGTTGGCGAGACATGTAACTACCAAGTATAATAAGGCTTATTAATAGGGCAACCCAGGTGCGACAACAAGGGAAATCCGGCGGAATCCGAACGTCACGTGATGGTAAAACAGCATAAAACGCTCGACAAAAGTAGTAACGTGTGACAAACCTGTTCGAAATGTCGTTAACATGGTTTTCTCGCCATATATTGTTGACCAATCTAATATTTAACTAATCAATCTATCACACGAGGTGTGTGACATGCCTGTATTTAAAAGCTTCAGGGTATTATAAAGATAGTGTAGGTACATTGGAAACCGGAGCTATTACGAGTATCACATTGATTTATCTTGAATATATTGCATGCCACACCTCACACGGATATGTTGTCCCATCGTGTATAGATATCAAGTTCAGTAAGTCGTATCTACCTCTGGCCAGGACCAGTCAGACATAGACTCATATATTCAGGGTAGCTAGTCGCCAGCTTACCAGCACCATACCAGTCACATCAAATACACATTTTGCAAGGCGGTAAATGTATGTCAAGCAGTCAAAACAATTATATTATTGGTGTGCTAGTTACAATAACGATTCAGAACGAGTGATATGTGTGTCGAGCAGGAGTGAGGAGCTGGCATATTCACTACCAAAGTAGATCGGTCTGAATTTTCGTCTGCCACTGGGGATTGGTGCTGGAAAGCAGCTTCGGAACGGTCCTCTTCCTGCTGGAAATATTCGACCAAGATGCTTCCCAACAATGAGTAACCACGTGCAGAGTGAAGTATTAGCAATGAACTTACTTTCTGATGATATTCTCAACCGGTGTTCCATCATTGAGTTCCTCTGCCTCTGCCTTTCCCATTTTGCGAACGCCCTCGAGCAAGGCATCCACAAACCTCCACAATTTGGTTGATGTGAAGATAGTGCGCTTTCCATGGCCGCCAAATCCCAAATCATTGGGGTTGAGTTCATACATTTCCGCCGTGCCAGACACGTTTCCTTCCAGGCCGTCCTCCTCCTCATCTCCATCATGGTTAACATCGACATCGGGTCCATCATCTCCAGCCTCTGCTCTATTTATGCTGCCTTCAATGCTTCCGATACTGTCTGCACCGTTCTCCTGGACTTGATTAGCATCACCTTCGGCTATGGGGTCTTGGTCGAAGTCGTCCAATCCAACATCAATGCCAAGTGCATCACCAACCTTGATGCGAAGGTCTCGGTGGAGGGACGGAAGGAGCGATGGGGAATAGATATCCTTTAGAGGTATGGTCTTGTAGTTACCGGTGCCGATAAGAAAGATACGCAAGCAACGGCGCTGCCAGTGGAATCTCATCGTCAGAATGAGCAGTCAGGAGAGTAAGACCATACCAAAAATGCATATCTATTCCAATGTGATGCATCAACTTCTAGGCAACCATGGGCAAGTGATCTTGCAGTGTCTATGATACTCGAGCATTTTAGGATCGACGACATCAGCTGAATTAGTCTAAGCTTGGCTTTTTCTGTGAGGTATTTTGACACTTACCTTAGTCTTTATATTGCCGCGGATGCAAGAAAGTGCTTCGCTGACAAGTTTTTATAATTGTGTGGTGAGCTCGATGTCTTCAAACAGGAACTTTGGGACCTTGAATATCTCGCTATTTTTCTTGATAAATTCCTGTCATCCTGTCCAGCTGCTACATTCCTACATAAGGATATTGAAGGTACCATGACATGTTCAAGCGTGTCATTGATGTATGCGGTGAGATTAGGCGATAATACACATGCTGTGAGGCGGTTGTGAAGACCCGACTGTGTCATGCTTGATCAGTATGAAGTTGACGACAGAATAGTACATTTAGACACAAGTACCTTGAAATCTTTCGATTCTATTAGTTCTTTGATTTCCGCGAGGAGAGATTTTCTGTTCGCTGCGCTCAACATCATCAAGGTGGCCTTAATATCAATGAGCATATAGGCAATTACTCCAGTCTAATGATTCATAATAGCATTGAGAGAAAACTTGCATCAATGAATTCAATGAGGTGCTCCTCATCGACACCTTTCTCTTCAGCAACTTTCCTTGCATACAACTTGAGTCGCTTTGTGAGTCCAGGCGTAAATATCGATGGGTCGTTACAGTCGGTGCTAGAAGATCTCCGGCGACGCAAGCTAGCACTAATAGGCTCATCCAGGGATTCATCTGGTGAAGCAAACCGAGAGGCAACAACAGTTTGACCTTGAGAAGCTTGATTAATAGTGACGGTCTGGGAAAGCGGTGAACAAGCACGACCGATGTCTCCTATGGATCCAGACACTGAAGGAGGTCAAGAGGCATTCTGGATAGAAGTCGAATGACTCCTGCCTCGAGGCACAGCGGTGGGTGGTGCTAACAGACCATTTGTTGAGCGTGGGGTTCCTGTGCTTCTCGAATCTGAACTGGTCTGCACAGGATAGCGCTGGAGCATCATGATGTTGCATGGACGTGGATGCACTGCGCAGGAGCAACTCACTGTTCTGCTCAAGGCTGACCAATGGAGGTTCGGGCTCGGTGGCTGATCAAATAAAGCCTTGCTTCTTCGCTTGCGTCCGAGTTGGCAATTGTGTCATACCCAAATATTGTTCACAAGATCTTTGGTGTGCTCAGGCCTATGAAAGCAGCAGAAAAGAGTATCAAACAATAAAGAGGATATATTCTTGGAATAAGGGCTGGGTGGAAAAAGGGGCTTGGAGAGGGATGAAGAGATAATCACTAAGTATATTATCTGAGTGGTACTTCTTGGTGCAGCAAAAGTGAGAATATTTGCAGCAGGCCTTCATCTAATCACATAAAATTGAGTGCAGCCAGACACCAAATCTGAAATGGGGAACCACCAGATACCCAACTTGAATGGCTTGAAGGTCTTTGTGCGACTGTAAGTAGAAGTTGCGCACTGCAGGATTGTAAGTAGAAGTCGTGCGCTGCAGGATTGTAAGTAGAAGTTGCGCACTGTGGGATTGTAAGTAGAAGTTGCGCACTGTGGGATTGTAAGTAGAAGTCGCGCACTGTGGGATTGTAAGTAGAAGTCACGCACTGTGGGATTGTAAGTAGAAGTCGCGCACTGTGGGATTGTAAGTAGAAGTCGCGCACTGCAGGATTGTAAGTAGAAGTCGCGCACTGTGGGATTAGCGACTCACTGATTGGCAACAAATTCTGTGGGATACCTTTGGAGTTCATATCCCACCGGGATACATCATACCAAACTGAGGGTGGTGATGCTGACTCTGCAGATATCGAACCTGAGATTCTTGGGGAGGATAATGAGGCGATGGGAAGCGGCCTGCAACATTATGTGGTGAATAGTGTGTGGGAGACATCAGAGGTTGAAACTGGTGCAATGGTGGGGCACGAGAAGAGCTGGGGAGTCCAGAGATAGAGCTGGTATCATGAGATTGCCAGAGCTGTAGATGTGCAGGAGGGAAGTGAGGCGTCAATGTCATGTAGTGATTTGGGGCCTGCACTGCAGGCAGTGGATCCATTGGGGCCTCTTGCACGTTTTGTGTTTGCTGACGAGTTGGGTGAACATATTGGGCAGGTAGAGGCGCAGGGGCATATGATTGAGACGGAAGATATGACTGTGGGGGAGGGCGATACAACTGAGATGGTGATTGGTGAAATGGAGGTGAGGAGCGTAAGGGGGGAAGAGCATGAATTGGCAGGGGCGGAGGGAAAGACTGATGTGGAGGATGGTGTGGTTGGGGTGCAGGTGAGTAAAAATGTTGCGAAGGACCTCCCATTGATGGCGCAGAGACAGTTTGATGTTGCTGCGATGCTCCTGAATCTTGCTGAGTGGGTGCCGTCCCCTTCTTTCCTTGCGTACTCGGACCACGTGCGCTCGCTTTTGCTGTTTTTGCCTTGGCTTTGCATGCAGGCTTCCACTGTTTGGTTGGAGCACAATCAAAGGCAGAAGGTGGCACTAAAGATGGTTGAGCAGCCACACCCTCACCACTATCTGCTAGTTGGGACGTATCTCCACCTTTCTTCGCTGTTCTCTTGTCTTGTAGTTGGTGTATGGCAATGGCACGAACTTCAGCTACATTGGTAACCTGAAGCGGTGTCTCACGAAGTGTATCTGGAACAACACGTTGGATGTGATCGTAGTTATGAATGGAATAGACATTGAGAAAAAAGTTCGGCGTTGACTCATGCTTGACTGTGGCCTTTGTTTGAGAGGTGTCTATCCGTTCTTGATGTACAGACTGTCGACGGATGTCCGTGCACTGCGAATCGAGGCAATTATGTTGAATATTGACGGAGCAAATAATGTCCTGTGAGGCGATCCAAGTCTTGAACAATTAGCTTGTATATAAAACACATGACGTACTATACTGGTTGAAACCATCTCATTATCAGTAAGATCAATGCATGGGAGGTGGAGAGATGGGTGGAGAGCAGCTCTGAATGTGAAGAGCTGGAGTGCGACATGATCTGTCATTTGACTGTCCTGTGATGATACAAGAATCTCGCGAATATGTCCAATATACAACTGGAAGCAGCATCACAGCCGTGTCCATGAGTAGCCGTCACGACAAAAGGAAAAGAAGATACTAGCTCACCTGCCTGTCCACCGGTTGTCGGAAAATAACATGACTATTCAAGCGTGCACATTCTCCTTCACTCATCGCAACTGATTTACCTTGATAATACATGATTCCAGGTTGAATGGTCCCAAGAATCTTCGCGCAGCGAGTGGTTTTCCATGGGACTGTGTTTTTTCGCACTGACTTTGCTATTGCAGTGGGAGAAGTGGTTTCAATTTTGTCTGAACCTGTACATCATTAGTGGCGATATAGCGATAGCACATACCATGGGACTTACCGGGTATCAGAGGACTATGACTCGAGTTTGGTATTCCTAGAAGCCTCGCTTGTTCAGGATGTTCATCAAGATAGCATAGGACCTTTTCCCCTGCACAAACCTATTTCTTGACTCTGGAATCATACCAGTATCCACTGGTAGCGATATGTTTGACCGTGTCCTGGTGAGAAAAAATCTTGCAAGTATCCCTACTTGGCGCCTGTCGGTTGCTGTAGATGCACGATAACTGGAAGACATGATTGAATGATTCGTATCGCTCAGTTGAAAAAACAATCGCAGGGCCGAAACGACGAATGTACGCTAGAAGATGGACGAGAAAATGGAACTTTGGCTTGCTAATCAAAATACTCGGTGCGCATTGTGTTGTAACATTCAAAAAATCTTCAATGGTTTGAGATAGCGTTGCCTTTGTCACAAAGGTATCAGACACGCCTTTTGGATAGAACATGAATTGAACTCACGAGATATGTTTCTGTGTCCATGAATCTTGTGTGCCAGACCAGTACAATGAGTTCGCCGATCACTGTCCATGCATTAAGGACCATTGGAGGAACGAGGTCATGGATAATGAATGGCATAACTTGCACCAAACTTTTAAAATGCTTGCCGATTAAACTGCCTTTATAGTGGCAAATATAGTCTGCATTTAGACAGGGCGCATTCAGGCCGTCCTTGTCAATGGATTCAAGCCGGTACTGAAAAATGTGGAGGAACTTTGCTTTTTCGAGGAGAAACACTGTCTGCCCCCAGAAGTACTTGACGACGCCCAGGAGTATTGTATGAAGGATTTCTGTTGGGGTATCCATATGAATATCTAACCCTATATGAAGCTAAGAGCGAGATATCTACAGCAACCAAAAAAAACTCACCATCCATTCCCAGTAGGGGATTGGTAGTATCATTGAGGTGTCCACCTTTCAAGAGTTCCTCGAATTCTTTCCGAAGCACAGCTTCAACTTCACTTTCAGGCAGAGCTGGAGATCCTGGTATGCGTTTTCGAAGCTTCTTGCCAAGTTCGACCAATGCACTGAGAATTGAACCCGAAGCTGAATCTCGCACACCAGTCGACGAAACAGAATTCTGGATTTTTGTTGTGGCGCCTGATCTGAAGGCAGTTTCAAACTGTTGTTGAATCTCTTGACTCGTCTTCTCGGGGGTCCATATATTACCTGACTGCAAGCACTATAAGTCATATGGCAGATACGGAAAGAACTTTCATACCATAAAAATGCTGTTGTAGCCAGCCTTGGATTCCTTGTACTCTTTCGTTCCGCCAACATCGCACATCCTGCAGAAATAGTTGCAGTTGAGCCCCGCGTGGCTACACTCTTCAGCTTGCATGGGATTGTCTCCAGCGAGAAATAATGCATACGGAATGAGCATAACTTCCTCGTCGAACTTGCAATCCCACGCCATGACACCAGATTGTGCTGCGTCACTACATGCATTCAACGATACTAGCATACAAATGACAAGTAGAATAACATACGATATGAATTCCTTCATTGCTCGCATCAATTCCATGGGTGGTGCGTGAGGGGAGGATGAAACAAATCGCACGAAGAATTTTTTTTCGAGCATCTCTTGAGGCAAATTTGCGTTAGACATGTATATAGCGTGGTGTTTGTTCCACTGCTTCGATATGTTGCCTGAAACATTGTCCATGAAGATGATTAAGGGAACATTATACACCATTCGACCTTTCGACTTTTCTCGCAGCGGATTGGGTGAAAGTGACGCATATTTAATGGAAGATGCTATGTCATGCTTTAGTCTCATAGTTACTAATGAAAGTAGAACCGAACATATGTGTGAGCCCACAATCAAGCTCTCCGCAGGTTGCGGCAATATCTCCAAATGATCGTACAAACATAGACATTGGGATAATCTCCTCATTGTCACTTACAATGAACCCGGCCTGATACACATTTGAGCACTAGTACACATTACATAGGTGACCCTGTACCTCTGTCCGTTCAGCAGCTCGACCCAATGCATATAGCACTTTATCTGATTGCTTGCAGGATTCGGTAGTGTTGGTGGGGATGTCGGCAGCAGCCAGAAAGAATCGTTTTGGGATGAAATAGCCTCCTGAAGACTCCTGCAACAGTTCGTCCGTAAAATACACGGTCCTGTCCACCTGGACTGCTGGCGGCAATGGGAGATCGAACAACATTTTACTCCCGTTGAATACTTGTGACATCCCCTTTCCGCCATCCTCTGGATAGTCTTGCATCGCAAGACGAGTGAGGGGATTAGTGTAGTCCTATGAATTATGTTAACATCACATCGGTGCAGAGATCCATCCCACGAACTTTTGCAATTGCTCTTGCAACACTGTTGATGTAGAATGTGTTTCCAGAGTGAGATGTGACCTTCTCGGTTGGATCTCCTATGAGATCCTGCAGATGACTCTGACACTTCTTCATCGCGCCAAGTGAGGGAAGGCTTCGCACACCAAGTTCTTTGGCCCAATTCAAGACCGCCTTCTTTTGGACTTCAGAGAACGGAAGCTGTGGGGAGCTAAACAAGAGGGATGTGATGAAATGCTTGATATTGTTAGATATATCATATATATGTGTGCAGCATAAGACCTACTGCTTTCGATGGCCAGGGATACAAGGGATGATCCAGAGAGACGTTGTAGTTAGTGTTCGCAGGTTCAAGAAGCGGATCCTCTGCAAATACTGCTAAGTATTGAATTTCAGAGTGCAGGAAAGACATCTCACTTACCAGGAATTTCAATACCGAAGTCAGGCGCACTGTCGTCAATAAGCTCACACTCCTTGTTGGTGGGAACAATGGGTGTTGAGATGGCAATTTGTCCCGAGGCAACAGATGCCTGCAGTTCAGCAAACAGGTCCGGAAATTCATTATCGAGCTGAAGTGTTTGACTGCTGATGATCTTGTTCCAGAGATTGGCTAATGGATATTCGGAATCCATATCATCTGGCACTGTTTCTGGCACCATGGGCAGTCCATCAGCTTGTATGTCGATAGGTGTGTCATCCACGTAATCGAAATCGATGCTGAAGTCATCTTGACCAGTGGGGGGAAGTGAAGGATCAGGATGGCCAGCAGGCATTGCAGCAGAAACACTTGGCTTCCTGGTCTCAGAAAGCTTTTTCTTAAGATTTTCGGCACCATGAATGTGAATATCTTACTTCGCGTGCTTTACAGCATTGCAGTGTGCCATCACACGATAGACACCACATTTTTTAGGGCACACAGTGCAAAAGACACGATCTGAAGTGTCATCACAGAATCGAAAGACTGTAGATACCATAGCATAAATAAATAAGCAAAATGAATTCGACGCTATCACTCACCAAAGTTTCAACTCTCTATCCTGGCGTTCATCATAAAGACAACCATGCCTCACTCGAACCAATGTCCTTCATAGTCTGCTTTCCTGGGACATTTCTGAGACAGCTCTTGGAAAGGAGTGATATTGTATGAATCCGTCGTTTTCCACTTTTCTCGAGGCTTGCTCACATGTAAACACCAGCCTGTTTGCATATCAGTATCTATTGATCAGGAATATGGAACATTAGGGAGAGTCAGAGTTGGCGATTTTGCCACGATTCAAATTTACAATTTTTGCCGATTCTAACACTGATTCAAAACTGTGAATCAGCGCCAGCTTTGACTACCCCCGTTTCACTTCAAGATTCTGATGTACGATTCTGATACGATGCACTGATCAATTATAATTATAAATAATTCACTGTCAGAGCAGACACCATACTGCATCATGCCCCGCTTCACTCCACGTCAAAAACACGCCCAGAACCTGCTGAGGAACTTCATCAAGTATCGCATCAATAAACTCAAACGTGCTCGCCGACACACTGCCCGCAGTTGGCGTGCTTTACAAGCTGCTGGATATGCTAGCGAGTCTCCTCATCTTCCATCTTCAAGCTCAGAAAGCTCTTCACAGCCATCTGACATGGAGTCGGACAGTACCCCAGTTAGCTCTGGGGAAAGTTTGTCAGGCTCAGACTCAGAAAGTACACTGTCAAAGAGTTCAGATGACGATACCTCTACTGAAAGCTCTGCTGCCAATATGTCAAGCAGTGATGACTCCGAGTCCGAGTCTGATTGGGATTTGAGTGATGATGCTGATGACAATGCTGAACATGCTAACTCAAGGCTATCACAATATGTCAGGTGCACATACCGGGCCATATATGCTCGTCGTTATGATGCTGCACGCAACAAGCCTATCCCGAAAGCCCCCTCTCAGCTACCACATATCCTCAAAGTCCTTAAAGTCGAACGGCCTGACGAGTTTCGGGAAATCCTGCGGGTCAATCCAGACACATTCGACAAAATCATTGAAAAGATAAAGGACGATACAGTGTTCTTCAATAACTCAAACAACCCACAGCAGCCAGTCGAAGAGCAGTTGGCAATCACCCTCTATAGGTTTGGACACAATGGTAATGCAGCTAGCCAGTCACAGGTCGCACGGTGGGCAGCTGGAGGTCATGGAACTGTCTCGCTAAATACAAAGCGAGTAATGACAGCAATCCTGTGTCGTTCATTTATGGACAAGGCAGTATGTTTTCCTACTCTAGAAGAGAAAGAAGAGGCAAAAACATGGGTCAAAAAGCACTCCTGCAAGGCATGGCATGATGGCTGGTGCCTCGTCGATGGCACACTTATCCCACTGTATGATCGGCCCCATTGGTATGGTGAAAGTTATTTTGATCGAAAGTGCAATTACTCCCTCAACATACAGGTGCGTCGCTAATGTGAATTCAATTTTGAAAATTGTATTCTCACATACTTAGATCGTCTCACTACCCAACCTTCGTATCATTGACTTTAGCTATGGACATACTGGCAGCACTCACGATTCAACAGCATGGGACGACACACATCTTTGTCAGGAGCACGAGACCCTCCTTGACGACAAGGAATTTGTTTGGGCCGATTCTGCATATCCTGTGAGCAACTCGTGTTCACATCTGTCACTGTGCTAACGAAGCAATCAGCTACAGACATGGGTCATAGCGCCCTATAAAAAACCTGAACGAGACCTTCCTGAGAATGATGTGTTCAACAACCATGTCTCAATGATACGGATACGTTCAGAGCATGCCATTGGCTTTCTCAAGGGTCGATTTCACTCACTCAAAGGCCTTCAGGTTCAAATTAAAGACAAGAAGTCTCATCAGTTCGCAACATACTGGGTAGCAGCTTGTATTGGACTGCATGCTTTTGCAATGCAGTGTGAGGCCGACGAACGTGAGAGGAACAACTCTGATGAAGAAGAAGATCCCTTCATAGCTGAAGGGCTTTCTTCAGACTCTGACTCCGACAATGAAAATTTGGTTGCTTATCGAGCGAGGGTCTTGCAGGGTCCAGTCAGTGGTTTACGTTTACGCCAAGCCAGAGCTCGAAGGGACCAGTTGAAAAGACGTCTATTTAGAGCAAAGGAGAGGAGACAAAGACAAAGAGAATCTGATTATGAAATGGAAGGACAATAGAATTTTTATGTTTCGTACGAATTGTATGACTGCTGAGTCTCTGGCAGCTGAGTTGATGGGAAATTGAACGAGCTGGATGAATCACCTGGGTATGACTCAGCATATGAAAGCGGCGGGGAAGCTGATTGGTAGTAGGGAGATCCATGTTGTTGGGTCCTTCCTCCCATATACTGTTGTCTTCTTTCAGCCTTCTCACGTCGTTGTTCTCGTGCATCTGCCAATTTTTCCTTCTCTAACTCAACCTTTGCCAGCTTGATTTTGGCCCGAACGGTATCCTTTTCTGCCTTTGCCTTCGCCAAATCAAGCTCTTTCTGCCTCGTCATTTCCTCAGCCTGTACAAGCTCAACAAATTCATCTTTCTTCGGCTTCTTGACTGTGTTCTTTGGGGCTCGTGTAGCTGGCTTTGATATTCCTGGTTGTGGCCCTGTCTTTGGAGTTGCCAGGCCTTGGTCTCGTGTTTCACTACTCATTGAGGCCTTCCGTTTTAGTGAGTACATTGTGCTCGAGTCGAATGTATTTTTGTTGTCCAGCTCTTCAGTGGCACCTTCAGAAAGGTCTCGAAAATCCTCGTTACCCACTGTGTCAGAATCCCAGTCTTCAATCCCACTGCTTGGTTCAAATTCAGAGCCAGCAGTAATGACAGTCATGTCAAAGCCTGTTGCGCTATTGCCGAGACCGACAGGAACATGGTTTGGGCACTCCGCAATGAGCTCACGCATCTCAAAAAACCAAGGGCACACCTCCTTGATGATTTCTAGAGTCGAGAATTAACCCTAGCACTGGTAGGAAGCTGAATTTTCAAAGTACGTACCCCATTTAGTTGTGAACACATTTTTGACATTCATGTTGATTTCATCTTCACAAGTTATGCCGGCACCCGTCTCACCCATCTCCTCCATGTATTTTCGTGTAATCTCGGACATTCTGCATGGCCATGAGGTAAGTTTGTAAGACCAGGCATCAATTCTCACCTCTTTATTCGGTTTTTTATCTTGTTAGCCCAGGTCTGTTTCTGTTTTGGAGTCACAGCTTGCGAGAATGGTAACTTGTACTCTGCATCTTCTTCGAACAGTATGACACACAGCGCTAAATGGTAGGCTGCTTTTGTCTTTCCACGTGTTCTCGGATTCGCTCCAGGTGAGGGGAATAGGCCTTGTTTGATATCGGGGTCATCTGTGATGGCAGATAGAAGTTTCGCACTGAGTTCTGGTGTCCAGCTGTACTCTGATAAGCACGAGACGGCCGAGGTTGCAAAAAGTCTTAGGTACACACTCGATGTCTGTCTTCTCATCTACCAGGGGTTCACTGTTATCTTCGGACTCACTCATCTTGACCTTTGCTTTTCTTGGGGTCGGTTTGGCCTTTGAAGGCTTCAGGGCTTTGCCAGGGGTAGCTTTTGCATCTTTTTTTGCCATAGCAGACATCGAAGAGATTTGTGAAGGACTGCGACGAGCAGGATGTATAAAATATTTTTGTTTATAATTAATTTATCACTCAAATAAAATACATCTTTTATCAAGGTCGAAACCTGTGATTCAAGAGGTGGAACGCCTCCGGAGGCGTTCCAGCGATTCACCTCTGATTCATGTTTCACACGATTCATCTGTGAAAAAACTTGATGCTGGATTGTCTTTTTGAACCAACACTGAATCGTGGCAAAATCGTCAACTCTGACTCTCCCTATTCACTACACCGGTCATAGAGGTTGTATCATCAGACTTGAGTCACTGCAACAGCATACTACACTGTTCAGGAGACTTGGACAATGTAAGTGCATATGTCATCTATTTAAACATCAACCTATTACTTACATCACACCAAAGTCGACCTCAGCTATGTCCTATGACGACGACGAACCCACTATATCATTTCTCCCACTCCCACTTTCGTTTGACTACATCAATCCAGCCGATTGGCAAACAGTTTACCGGCAAATTCAGGAATGGCTCACCACAGAAGTTGACACAGAATCGTCACTGTGGACGTGGGGACGTGATGCTTTCTGGCTGGCGTTCATCGCCGCCTATCCGTCCTTTCCAATGGGCAAGTGGCCAATGTGGGATCCTCGTATTCCGCTGGAGGGATCGTTCATTGAACACTGGTTAGAATGTTTGAATGATAGCAATACTGAGGAGGTTCTGGTCCAGGATGACGTAGTGAGTCATATTTGGAATGAATTTTGTAAACACGCGGCGCTCTTCTATCCCCTTCCCCTCATTTCCTCGGCTTGATATTGTAGTGAAATTTTTGTTGTCTGTTTTGTTTTGAGCTAGCCATGATGCCTAATGTCGATACATATTAGTATGTTTAGGCCTATGATGCCATCAGTACATACTCTTTGTTGTAATACTTGTATGCAATGTCATAAGCTTTAACTGGAACAGTTTGAACGATCCCTGCATCAAAAACCACTGGAAAGATATATTATTTGAAGCTATGGTGCACAATATCTAGATGCTGCGATCAGAGCCAAAGATCGCGAGCATGTTGATGCGATATGTGCAAGATATCTCATCTCTAAACCTATCACACATAACTCACGCAAAGCTATTCTATATGTAATGCGTGTGATATTTGGATGAACTCTGTGTCATGTACGTGCAATATATGACTGACTTTTACCAGATATCAGAAATATTTCCCTACTGAATACCAGATTTACGACCTTTACAGCATGAATTTATTATTTGTCTACAAAACTCTTATTACAGCCAGGGTTCTAGGAACAAGTCAGGTCCTCTAAATAGTTTTCTCACAATATCGGTCACGGATAAACTGGCAACTGGTGGTGTACCATCATAGTTTATGATCATATGATGGCGACAATATATTTTGTACTATGACAAGTCCAGGAGTACCACTAGAGCACCTCGACCTCCGCGCGAAACAGACGCATACTTGTTAGACGTATCCTGTGCCATCCCTGACTAGCACAGTACAGTCACTCGCCAAGTCGTCAGCCTTAGCTAAGGACTGCTTCTTGAAGGCAAGTAGCAGATCCTACATTCCCTTCAAGTGATTTATCACATCTATCAGGCTCACAGGACGGAGTCGATTTTGCAGAAGAATGGAGAGCCAGGTATTATACTCATGTGTAAGTCTATCGCTCTTCCTTTGCTTCTAGATGATGACGTGCACGTTCATACAGCAAAAGAGTTCCACTGTGACAGGGCGGAGAGGGTACTTTCAACACAGACATTATCATTGCGTCGAGAAGTAATTCGCTCTCAAGTGTGCATGCACATGACCTGTGTTTTATTGTATCACAGATACTGGATGATATGCTCACCACCCTGCACTGATCTCATATTGCAGAAGTGTGGGGGGAATCTGATCGTGAAGATCTCATCATGATCAGGCACAACTTGGACAATACAAACCTGAGTTAGAGAAGTTTGCAATGATTATCTTCCTTTCTTCGATTGAAGGGCTTATATGCGGGCACGACCCAGACAACTTCTAACTGCTAGCTTGCTTCAACACGTATCTGAATGATCATGACACATTTGGTGATGTATCGACTGTGCTCCATGGCTAGTGTGCTTCGTTTTATGTGAGGTGTTACTACTTGGTCTTGGAAGAATTTTCCACTTTCCTCTGTGATATCTCCCCTACCAGTAAGACTCACATCCCTTTCACGCCACTGTAGCTGCGTCGCACTGATAAACTTTGCGACATGTGCATCAGCATACATCCATCTCCTCCTTTATTTATGCATTGCAGTTTGTCTGGACCGTGTTGTGGTCGCGTTCAAATATTGGAACAATATTATTCGTTATTCCTTCACAACCATGCAACACGGCCGACTTTATCCTGAATCGCGCTTGCATCTCTGATAATCGGAAGTCCATAGTCATGATCGTGACATAAGTAAAAGGAAACTACAAGTGTGGAATAAACTCAGTCCAAGCTACTGTGCGGTATATGCCAGGAGGTAACGATCCAAAACTCATCAATATAAGTACAATCAGTGTAACGCGTGCAACAATATATACGAAAAGGCTAGCGAGTAAAGCTGATTGTGCAATATCATTGCGAAGATCATCCAAATCATGCAGCCAATGGATATAGCTAGCCAACAAGACAATAGATACTGGTATGGATACTATCACAAGGGAAGCCGCACACCATAGTATTTTCTCTGTGTGCCCCTGAAACAAAGCATTCCAGCCCAGACAGTGCAGACCTCCAAACACTGTCCCACTGAAACATCCAATGGTAAATATAATGATGTGATGACGGTATGTACTGTCACTATCATAGCCACCCAGAGACGGAACTCGATGTGAATGGACAGCACAGAAGGAAGTAAATGGGCCACCGCCCATTAGACTGATCCAGGGATAAATGCAAGTGGTAAGAGTATTACTTTGATGGAAGAATTTATGTACTTTTCTAAGATGTGGGCGAATTAGAACAATTTCAAGCAATAATATTGACGACATACTTGTAGGTTGAATGGCTCGGTGGAGAGGTAGTTGCTTTCCAATAAACAGCATAAGAACGTCCTACATCCTTGGGCTTCTTCCACCAAAAGCCATAGGCAATGCAGGTCAAGGCAGCTACAGCAAGGGAGTCGAGCTCGAGCAGAGTCATCGGAAGGTTTTGAACGTAACGGGCGACAAGTTGGATGACGAACCACATCAGCTGAAGGATGACAACACCTTTGGATAATGTGTCGCCCTTGCTTCAATCTTCTATGTCTGCCTCCATGATGATGGGCATTTCCACAGAGCCCTCACGAACAAAGCACTTAAGCTCATTGGGTGTAAGAGTAACTCGCAGCTTGTCATCGAAGTAGAGCATGAATCCACCCATCCACGCGAAAAAACCATGCGTCGTTGTCCACTCTGTGAGACATTCGTTGAACGAAATTAGTTATCATACTGGAGGACCAAGCAGGTAGTAACTGACCTCCAAAAGCACAATTTGTAAGATGCAGAGCCCTCAGATGCGGGCTGTTTGTTCTATCCGATGCTGGAATCTCACTAAGCAATGTAGCTCTACTCTCTCCAATATCTGCAGTCGCTGTGGGTCTGGTGAAGTTGTGCACCAAAGGCATCATTGAAGTCCTTTACGGTGTCACGAGCAGCTAAATACTGTATAGTAGCCCAGGTAATCATAAGTTCTGGAGCGATTAATGCTATCATCATGAAGCCTAGGTGACGAGAGAAAACAATGAACTTCCTTTCGTCCACACCTGGGATATTTGGGTGAATTGCAGTCCATGTGCATGCAAATAGAGTCGCAGCGCAACTCCAGATGATGTCCCACAAGGATCTGGTGTTACTGTAGGATGAAGGGTCACTGACATTGAGTGTATTGAGGCTGGTGCCATTAATGTTCGGCAGTGAGGAGCAAACAAACGGGAAGTGTAACAGAAATAGAATAGCCAAGGGTAAGAGGGTCATGATGAAGTTGAGATTGTATGTCTGCTCAATCAGCTGCTCTCTTTAAGAGCGCAGTCGCACATACAGCAAGTCGACTAATCAGGACTATTAGTAAGTCCTCAAGGCTTCAAGAATCAAGACCTCATGCCTCGAGGTTACCATACCCTAGACTAGTGACCAGCCTGTCTATGAGGTAAACCATCGATAGACATCCATGCAGATAGTACACGTTTATCACATGTGGAAAGGTTGCACAATGTTCAATGAAGTTCTCCATGGACCGATGATGGATGATGATGGGCATTAAGCCGGAGAAACATTTCGAATGAGGAAACTCACAGTCACAGCACAGGCTTACATCAGCCTTTCCGAAAGGGAATAGGCACGTGAAAAATTGTTGGAAGTTTTTGTACGGCATTTTAATCCATTAAAATGGCCTAACGACAACAGTCAGCATTTTATTGATTGTCGCACACATTTTGATGAATATTATAATGTGCATTTTTATGGTGTTCGCCTAGTTGTAATATACATTTTAATGGGTAGCTCCCCTGTCTTAATGCTTATTTTGATAATATCCACATTATTTTGATTCACATCTTACAATCAGCGAAGAGGGATGCTCGAGATTGTATCACCGAGCTTGAGCAGGTTCAAGGAGTATAACAACCAAGATCATCGACAACCTGACTTTCTGGATCCTCTACTTCGCACCATTGAAGCGAGTGAATCCCTATGAATTGACTGAGTTGAAGAATGTTAAACACTTCCCTGAAAACAAATGGAGGTGCACCTGGGTCGATATGAGTAGATGCTAGAGAGGAACTTTGGGATGATAGCTATACACTCTGTCTTGGTCTGATACTAATCTTCATGCCGTTTGAAGCATATTTCAGAGCCTTACTTTAGTTCCTCATTTCAACATCAAAACTAGGATCTGATCCTTGTGTCTATAATACCCAGGGACGATCGCTGCAGCAAACGCGGTAGTATTTTCTCTCTATGTTTCATGGTATGTCCTCCAGTAGAGCAGGCTTGACCATTCTCACTTATCTTGAAGGCACAGGAGCAGCACATGCTGCTCGTTCTTTCCATGATGCAACCTCAAGCCCCTACACTCGAAGTGAAGCGTTTACGGACCCGAGACGGAAGCAGACAATCATTAGTCTTTTGGATGTCCCAAGCGAGCTTAGCAACCAGGCATCTTCAGACAATGGTCAGTCGTCCCCGCTGGCCATGATACACTGTTAATTGACTATTTTAGATGCCAACCTTCCTTCTAACTTCGAAGATGACCGAGACGTCCGTGAGTGGTCGTCAGCGCATCGCTCAATCTTGGCCTGAGTTGTTTTCAGCTACTGTGGATGAAAAACTCCAAGTTGCAGGGTCAGAATTGTTTAATAAATTCGAGAGGTAAGACCCACATTGTTGTTCTGTCTCCTTGCACTGACTAGTCGGCACAGGCGAATGGATAATCTTGACAAAGAGGTATGAACAGATGCAGCTCTCATGCTTTTTAGTGCTCACCTCCCATGTAGCTCCGGAACTTTGCTAACACTGCCTGCCAACTTGGCAGTTCTGTTGGAATATTGTCCTCTGCTTTTCGACTATGGGAATGCCTCACAAAATTATTGTTTCTATTTCGCGAGATCACAGCTACACTATTCCCTCAGAAAATTTCGTGCCAACCTCGGGAAACATTGGTTAACCCTAACTTGATGGATTGACGATGTACATGGACAAACAACCCCCACTCAGGCCCATACATGATGATGGTCTTGATCCCGAAAGTTTTCCTGGTCAATTTGCTAGTTTCGCAGAAGATGTCATGACGCTCCTGAACTGCTTGAATGAGTTTCCGGAGTTTACAGATGAGGGAGTCAATACATCAATGCATGCTTTCGAAGTCGATCTCAAGGTGAACTCTTTGGTGTGTTACATTATTCTCCGTTAACCGTATTTTTTTTAGTATTGGGCCTTGTGTCTTCAGGAGTACAAAGGTAACATGTCTGCATGGGCTTGCATTGGACAATCTTCTCAACTAGTTTCAGGTCAATTTTGGTATCCAGCAGTGCAGCGCTATATCCACGATTTGACATCGGAAATTGGGGAGCACATCAATAACATCACAATCAATCTGTCGATGTTTATTGAAATCGGTATACATACAATCCATCCTTAGCACTTCCAAACTTATGTTCTCCTCCAGGTGTACCAACGATTAGGTTTGCCCAGCAGCATGCAGCAGCAAACCTGCTAAACCTGTCGACAGTCGCGACATTCTTCTCAGCTGTGACAGCAATGACCTTACAATTCTCATACCAGTTGACGGATGGAGTGCTGGAGAAGTCTGTTAATGCATTCTAGTTCTCCTCATTGGTTTTCAGTATAGCAGCCGCAGTGAACCGTCTCCTCGGTCTCACCTGGAAGCAAGCCATGTAGTAAGTCTATCATTCATCCTACCTGTACTCATGTCTAATGACAGTCGTTCAGTTGTTCTCCAGGACATAGGGTACCTTGGTGGGTATTGATATGGATTAAGTGATCGCCTTTAGTCTTTCTCGTCATGCCTGTGGCATGCTTTTCTGCGGGCTTGATGCTTTTCACATACGCTACAGATCAGGTATGGGGTCTTTTTCTACTGATGGATGCGTGTCTAAGATGTCATATTTTGGTCAGGGTTTTGTTACGTCCACAATCACCACTGTTTTTACAGTAAGATAGGTGTCACTCTTATCCAGCACCGCTTACATCAGCAAATTGAGAGCCTCGCCGTTGCTCAAATTATGGGCACATATATTTATTTCTGATGTTATTGGATCCTAGGAAATATTTAACAGCAGTATAGTTTGAACTGCCAGGAAGCAGAAATAAAAAATATTCAAAACTGAATGAGATTTTCATTGTCCAATTTTTTTTGTTCTATTAAGTCAGAAAGTGGTTTACAAGGCCATGAGATGCCAGGGAATAATTTTGAAGTTCTTGACTCACCAACATTTGGCCGCTTATATAATACATCACGTGATGTGTGCCTGGGCAGGACGAGGAGGAGAAGGCAGCAAAAATCAGTGATATTACCCACAAAAAGCATCTCGCAATGGGTGCAACATCTAAAGCTAATAAGGCTCGTCTCAGGAATATTCAGTCTGCACTTTCCAGGTCCCACAAAACCACAATTGAAGATGTCTCTGACTCTGAGGAGGAGTCGGACTCGAGCTGCAGTGATTCTGAGGATGATATAGGGTTCAGTGTGGAAGAAGGGGAAAATGTAAATGATGAAGCCGCACTTCTCACATTCTCAGAAATCCTCTTTCGAGCACAGGATACTGCTGTCAAAGGAGAAAGACAGAGGTCAAAAGATACCAGGAGGCCAAAGCATTACTCCGGAAACTCAACTCGGACCCTACGACATCATGCTCTGGAAAGGAAAAGGATTGCAGAAACAAATCAGGCTTTTATCAGCAGCTGGATTAAAAAGAAGCCAGAAGTGGTGGGTGTCCAAGTCAAAGACATTGTTACAGAATCTCCATTTGATCATGAGGTGAGTTCTGATGTCATGGTTCATTGTTGTCGTGCATGAGTAAATCATTTAAAAATAGCCAGACCCTGTTCAAGAGGAAGAAGAAGAATCTTCTGAATCAGAATCAGATTCATTCATGGGAAAGAACCCATCTCAATTGTCACCTGTTGAAATATTATCCAGCAAAAAGGATGAACAAATTCAGAAAATGCTGGAAGACATACGGAATGGACAGCCACCCTGCGATGACAGTCCAGAGACCTTCACAGATTCAGTTCTCAATGCTATGGATTACAAAGACTTCCCTGCTTTACGTCGTGCCCGCGCGAAAATTGCAGTAAGCAGCAAAGACAAGAAGCTTGATGTGGTTTTCCGCTCTCATATCACAGCAATGCTTGGTGCTTTGAACCTCTACCTTGATCCAGAGCTGTCATATGGTTGGCGTGAAGCATCCCTCGTGGCATCGAAATCACTAGGCCAAGGTATCAATCATGCACGCAACATACGGACCTGGATTCATCAGTTTCTCTGTAATGAGAAGCTCCCGCTCCATTGATATGGTCAATACCACTCATCAATTCTTGAGGATGAAGATTTTGCACAAGATATTCAACTTCACCTGTCTGAAGTTCAGCCAGGCCATACTGTAAGAATGATACATTAAATGCCTACAATTATAGATGAAATGGGATACAATAATTCCTCTAGTCCATAGATACCTATGATTGTAGGGCTAATATATCAATGGAGGATCCTTTCAGGACACTCCCATAATAATCTCACACTCCTAATTTTCGCATTTTTGGCCAAGTACTGTGGGAATGTCCCCACAACACTTAAAAATAGATTGCTTCTCCACATTTTCGCATTTTTAGCCACCCCACTACACCTAAAACATCACCCATTTGGGAATCTCCACAATATCAATTATTCCCACACCCTCCCCACCTCACTGCAGCTTCACCACCACACCACAATAGGTCCCCTCTTGTATCTAAGTAGTAGTTTGGAATATATATGTACAATATAATGTAATAGACCGCTTTTTTTTGCTTATTTGTGTCCCTGCTCCTCCTCTAGGTACCATTTAACATATGTCAGGGTAAAGAACACTTTCGCACTTTTGCCCCTTTGGTGGGGAAGTGTTCTATGATATTCAGAACATGTTTATGAGTATATATGAGTAGATTCCCATCTTTATTTGACCCCCTGAAGCGTCCTACATCAATAGATATAGCACATATGCAAGAAAACACAGAATATGTTCCCATTTAATTATTTCTAAATGGACAGACTTGGAAAAATTATTCCTAGCATCTATTCAACAATATGAACAATGTATCAGGAGCCCAGGACCATAGGATAATTCCCTGTGGCATGGTGTGCCCCCCCTCTCCTGATGGTTTACCCCCTGTGAAATTTTTTCCTGTAGGACCGGACCTTAATTGAGGTGAGGGGACCATTTCTATGTATATTTGGAATAGATCTATTATATAGCTGGCCCAGGACACACATAGGATCCTGCTACAAGAACAAAAACATAGAAAATCCCACTTTTGACATTTGTCATGTTTTTTTGGTATCTTACTCTTGCATAAATATTCCAGTCTGTTCATATATCATTAGTATAGCATATCCACTTGCTGTTTATGACAAGGATCAGCTCAAAAATGAGCAACATTGATGGCCGAAATCTTACGCGCAGCTCTTGCATTTCCGATGCTTCTTGACCTTCCCGTTTGCTCCTGTCTGCTCGAATGCTGGTCCGAAAAACTGTTCAATATCAGCCGTTCTACCTTCACATGTCGATGATGCATCAACAATCGATTGGACGTCAACATCGATGGGGATACCATCTTTGTCAACATCTTTGTCAATGTCCGCTTCCTCAATGCGTTTCTTTTTTGCTGATGCTTTAAATTAATAAGAATGTTCAGTTAGAAGTAGGTTGTAGCACTCACACTTCGGATTAATATATGCACTTTCCCGCATCTCCACGTCATCGTCGTCCTCATCGTCCTCAAAAATCTCCTCTAAGTCAACACGAACTCTTTTCGTCTGGTTGGGGACATGTGAAGTTGGTGGTGTAGCGGCAGTCTTAGATGTGGTGGAAGTTGGTTGCTGTGAAGGGCCTGCCACAGATGACAGTTCGGTACCTTCTGCTTGTTTGGTGCATCGTGCAGCTTCAGCAATATGAAAGTCGTTGACAGCCTTTTTCTGGAAGGAAAGAGTTGCCGGTTCCGCTGAATGAAGGAGTGCTGCAGTAGGTTTGGTTTTGCGGACTGGACGTACAGCAACACGAGTTTCGCCCTCGTCATCTGAGATAATAGTGGGTGGCATAGGGTCAGTTCAACAAGGGGAAGACGACTCGGAGTATCTCACCTCATATGTATATTGCTGGTCTTTTTGTGGCTAGTTCAGTCATTTTGGATGATCAGATGCCTGATATTGCAGAGAGCACAGAGACATACCATGTTCCTGGAAGTATATTTGAAACATTGATGAGTTTGAGACACCTAAGCACACATGTTGGGAGCAAGATTGAAGCCGGGAGAACATTGTGCCAGATGCTGGAACCAATTTTGGCTTGAATACACATTCTATTTTTTTGGTAAACATCTTACCAAAAAGTGTGCAAAGCCGTGGCCCAAGCCAGTGGCCCCTGGCTTTTCAGAACCATAAGCCAGGCCAAAGTCGTGGCCTGACCAAAGCTTTGGCCTGGCTGGGCCTGGCCTATATAGGCCTGGCTTCGGCTGGCCCACGGCCTGAGGCCTGGCTGTGCACATCACTAATTCCCACAGTAGGTGGCCAAAAATGCGAAAATTAGGAGTGTGAGATTATTATGGGAGTGTCCTGAAAGGATCCTCCATTGATATATCAGCCCTACAATCATAGGTATCTATGGACTTGAGTAATTATTGTATCTGGCTTGCCCTGTAATTGTAAGAAGTGATACATCAGACCTACAGGTACAGGTGGTTCAGCAATGGGAGGGCCACATCCGAGCACAAGATATTGTGGACTATGTTGCCACACCAAAAGTGCAGGAGAGACTTGGTGCCAAGGCCAAGGTAATATCAAAGCGGACAGCACAGCGGTGGCTGTGCAAACTTGATTGGCGTTACGGACGAAAGCGGAATGGCATGTACATTGATGGGCATGAACGTCCTGATGTTGTTAAGTATCGCAATCAGTTCATTCAATGATGGCAGGAGTACGAGAAGAGAATGTTCATCTATGATAATGATGGCAAGATTCAGTACACACCAAAGGGCTTCCCTGTCGCTCAAGCTGGCCGATTTCGTCTCATTCTCATAACACATGACGAATCAACATTTTATGCCAACAACTGTTGCAAAACAGGGTGGTCTCACTCAAGTGAGAAGGCCACTCCTCAACCCAAGGGCGAGGGACCATCATTAATGATTTCAGATATGTTAACATCTGAATGGGGCCGTTTGTGGCATGGTGATGAGTGAGTATTGCAATTCACAGCATTGCATGAATTAATGCTGACTGCGTACAAATTAGTGAGGCGCGGGTTATTTTCAAGGCGGGAAAAAATCGTGATGGGTACTTTTCCGCAGTAGATCTGCTCAAGCAAGTGGAGCACTCCATTGATATCTTTGACACCAAAACCAATGGGTTTGCGACAGGCTTGTTCATGTTCAACAATGCACCAAGTCACCAAAAACGAGCACCAGATGCCTTGTCAGCTCGGAAAATGCCAAAAAGACCTCACCAGAACTGGACGCACCACAAAGATGGGCCATGCATGCTGAACGGCACATTCAACAATCAATCACAGGATTTTTATTATAGCGACAATCACCCAACTATGCCTGGCTGGTTCAAAGGCATGGAAACAATCATTCGAGAGCGGAATCTCTGGCCCGCAGCTGGACTCAATGCACAGTGTGAGGGATTCAAGTGCGAGCTTGACCGCACAGACTGTTGTTGCCGGCGACTATTGTTTTCCCAACCAGATTTCACTTCACAAAAATCTCACCTCGAAGAATACATCACTTCCCGCGGCCATATTTGCGATTTCTATCTAAAATTTCATTGCGAACTAAATTTTATTGAACAATACTGGGGCGTGGCAAAATTTCGATACCGAACGAGTCAGCGCACATGCGATATGGATGCAATGGAGAAAAATGACATTGACTGCCTTGATGATGTACCATTACTTCAAATTCAAAGGTATTTATTTTCACTGGCCATTGTATTATGTGCACTATTGATGATGTACACAACGCAGATATGCGAATCGATCCACACGCTTCATTTCTGCATATGTGCAAGGTCTTACTGGTGGTGAGGCAGCTTGGGCTAACCATCAGTACCATGGACATCGCACTCTACCTCCCTCCATGATTCTCGAGGTTAAGGAGACACTTAGAAAGGCTTAATGCACTAGAATATAGTGTTACTGCATGTAGCATGTACTAATCACTCGTCACTCGTCACTAATCCTTCTTGCGGCAGTCTCAACTTTTGAAAATTTTCAAGTTGAAGGTTTGGCCGCGTTTAGGGTTAGGGTTATGATTATGTAAGATGTGTTGGAAAAGAGTGACGCCTATCTTAAGTCTATTAATGGTTCTCAAAGTCGAACCTTGAAAAGAATTAATAGCGAATTCGGATGCTGCCGATACGGCAGGTTTTGAACTCCAACCTGCCCTGCCGGCGTGCTCGATGTCATTGCTGCTGGTGTCAACGCTGCCAAAGCTCTAATCTGATTCTTAATCGCTGTCAGTAGGAACACCCTGGATCATGTCAAGATCCAATCAAAGAGGTCGGACCAATACATCCACTGGTACGGACACCTCAAAGAAGTGTACTATCCATTGGGAGGGGGTCCATAGCGCTCGTACTGAACGCCTACTTACCTGGTGCAAGGAAAATGAAGACGCACACATCAAGCTCTTCTCCGATTCTGCAAAGGATGCCAAGGAGCAAGGTCGGAAGAAGAAGCAGAGTGGTACTTCGAGAGATGTTGTCTATTCACAGGTCGCACAAGCTGTATTTTCGAACGACGAGGATCTGGAGGTTCAACGACTCTTCAAGGAGGATCCCAAGGCATTCATAAAACCAGTTTCAACCCGTTTCGGCACGTAAGTATCTAGTTCCTGCGTCATCCGTCTTCCCACTGGAATCACTGATAAGCTGTTTCAGACTGAGAAAAAAATACAACGAATTCAACAAGGAACTCAAGCAGTCGGGAGCAGGAAAGACATATGCAGAGCTACAAGAAGATCCAAAGATGAAGTCTTTGATCGGTAAGTTTCAGCCGCTGTTGATCTGCACCTGTCCTAACCATGTCTCCATCAGATACAAAGCTCGAAAAATTTCCCTGGTGGCCTGAGCTTCATGGCTGGTGGCGGACAAATCCAGCCTTCAATCACGCCTTCTCTACTGCGGACGCAGGGCAAGATTTTGCATCTGCTGCGCTGGAACATTTCAATCTTTCCAAGCACCCAAAACCATTGGCTACAGTCGACGATGATGCTCGCACGGATGATGATCCTGAAGATGGAGAAATAGTTGAGGTCGGTACTCGCAGTGTGGATGATGGTGCCATTGTAGATGTGACAGATGATATGCTGGTCGACCAGCCCCCCCGCATAGAATCACAATCCTCCTCGTCACCGCTGATACCTTTGGACTGTGGTCCTAGCAATACACCTGACTCGTTCTCGCTGCATCCATTGCCACCCTGGTACCAACGACCTCAGCTCCCTCCCATCTCAACTTCTGATGCACCTGGAGTGGTATCATTGAATTCTCCTGAGCGCTCACCAGTACGCAATCGAAGTGCCCCCGATAATCCACTGTCTGTTTTTTCCGATTTCAAAGACTCTTCACCTAGCTGTCAGTCTACACCTATCGACTCAGAAGACTCGGATATTGGTGCCAGCCAAGCACTGCGGTCTCTCCGTGTCAGCTCACTTAAAGGAAGTCGTGAAAGTTCACCTTCTCTTGCCGCAAAACAGTCTCATCCACCTACTCGAAGTGCATCACCTCAGTTTAGTCGTCCCCCCTCTTCATCACGCAAACGCCCTGGCAGCAGTGCCCTTGACCAGACCTCTGCCGCTGCAGAAAAAATGTCCCAAACGGCAGACTCTCTAATGAAGCACCTCGACAGCAAACGTGAGGGTCGTGCCGAGCACGAAAGCTATAAACGTATGAAACTTCAGGGCGACATTTGGGCTCGTGATCTCAAGGCCCGCAGTGCTCGTGATGAGCGGGAGCATGCAATGCGTCTTGCGGAACAAGACCATCTCCACCAGCAGGAGAGGATGACTCAACAAATTGAGTTTGCAAGACTCGAGCTTGAGCTATCTCGTGCACGTCGAGAAGAGGAGGAGGCTCGGATTCGTCGTATTGCCATGGAGCGTGGTTTTGAATCAAACTGAAGTAGGTCTATATTACCACTCGTTTTTAGGACTTGGAAATGCATACCATCTTGTACTCGATCTCAAGCGTGACTACACACAGCAAACGCTACAGGTTTGGGATAAGCGCTTTGAGTTCGCCGAGCTCAAGTGCAAATTTCCCTCGTTGGGTACTAAGGAGGACGAGGAGCTTCTACTTGACAAAGGTTATGTATGTACTAAAGAGGACGAAGAGCTTCTACTTGACAGAGCAACCGCGTCTTTAACGCGTTGCGAAAATCCTGCCCTGCAGTTCCAATGTAGGTCTGATCACCTACCGCACCACCCTCTTGCTGATCATCCTCTCCTGCGTCACCATCAGCTCGCCTCAACCTCCGAGTTTGCTGATAGAAACAGACATTCGTGTCCTCATGGTTGGATTTTTCCTCGATTTCAATGATTAGATTGTGCAGAATGAAGCACGAACGGATCCACATGTTTGCGTAGTCGAGGTCCTTCTGACTTTGGATTGGGATGCAAAGCTCCCGCAGTGATTGGAACCGGCCCTTGATAGAGCCAAAAAAATGTTCTGAACGAACACGGACCTAGATGTTGGGTAAGGACTATGAATGTATATTGCCATTCCTACTCACTGTCGATAGGTTATAGTTGAACGTCTTTTGGTCCGGGGTCAAACACCCTCCCGGTGGCTGTTTATATGGTGGCACACACCAGGTTCGTGCAGCATATGCTGAGTCCGCCCACAACCACTCTCCTGCACCGAAAAACGACTCGGGATCCCGGGAAACTCTTGTCCGCGCAAATACGTTTGAGTCGTGGAGACTTCCAGGTACACCGATGACATAGTCCATGATACGAAGGTTGTGAGGGAATATAATGACCTTTTTTGATTGTAAGTCGCTGTGCTGCACATCGAACTGACACTTACCTGCGCTGTTAGAGAATAATCTGAATTTTTGTCGAAGAAACCCTCCCCGTGCCAACCTGGCTTCTCGTGTAAGGGAGACGGAGTCCCATCAACACAAAGGAAGCCTCCACGCCATTCATGACACGTCCTACTTTCCACGTAAGTTTTCGCCCGCTCTCGCTCAATTTGATCCTCGTGATCAAGTGAATCAAAATGAATGGCCCGGTCGTGAAGTTGCAGGATCGCAATCATCACACGTTTATAGCAATTGTAGACGGTCCCCACGGACACGCCAGCCCAGTCGGATATGTCTTCGGTGGTTGCGGCATTGCCATAATGGCCAGCGCCATTGAGAAACATGGCGAGCTGTATTGGGACGGGGAGTTGGGGGTTATTTGAATTATTGTAGAAGATGGCGTGTCCTTCAATCAACTTTGTAAGTTCTTCAAACACATCCGCATCAACACGGAACTTGCGACGGAATTTTTCAGGTGAGAATAGAGCCCACTCCTTCAGCAGGTGTAGCTGAGGCGCGCGACTCAGAGATGGACGGAAATCAAGGACCCGACATTTCTCCACCTCGTCGTGGAGTGCAGTGATTGCATCGGTAAACTGAGTAAAGACTTGTTCGCACATATCTGGGATGTCACGCGATAGGAACTCAGAGTATGCAGTTGAGAGTGACGTCAGAGAGTTGTCTGACAAGGCAGAGGTAATCGACAACGTAGGGGACACTGGGGATACTGGCCATGTTGGTGATGCGGTCCGTATACTAACATCCGAGCCACTACGGCCATTGGCAGCGCCATCAGATTCCTTATCAGAGTCTTCATTGTCGTCTTCATCTAATAGTTGATCTACCATAAACTCAATTAGTTCCATATAACGTGCAATGGTGAGATCATTGCTCGTTTTTTTGAGACTATGAAGCAGCTTCTTTCGATCAGATTCTTGGGGCATACTAGATGGAGTTGCAGAACGCTATAGCAGGTGCCAGGAGATGATGGTCACAGTACAACGTTTAGGGTTTATTTGTCAGCGTCGGAGCGTCAATAATACCGGCAACTCGCAAATCTTTGACCTTTCAAAATTCTACGAAGTTAACTTTGAGAACCACTATTGATAGTTCTGCGCTTCCGAATTGCGTGCTTACTTTTTCCCAGGCTGTCACTTCCTTCGGCCTGGCTGCCGTCTCCGCTTGGTTCGCCTCAGAACGCTGGATATTCGTTCAGCATCGCGGTCATGTATGGCTGGAGGATGTGATAAATGAAACAACCCACCGCATGCTCCTCCTTTCTGCTGTTGTGGAAGTGCGAAAGATCATCCATTACTGCAATCAACGCATCTTGGCGATCCGCGGCTTGATCATCAGTGAACCGGTGAAGAAAGTAGAAAGCCATATATCACAATATATAGTACACAATCGCACACATCAGCATAATTCTGCCATCGGTCATTACATTATCATGTTTGACCTTGTAGAGGAAAGAAGCGTTTTTCATTTTCTTATATCTGCTTCCGATGTCAAAGCTACTCAGGAAAAACCTCCTTCTCAAATTGGATGAAATGCGATCCAACTTGCACAAATCTGCAAGAATTTGACGATTTGGCAATCTGTCCAATTATTTTAATCCCTTTCAAATTTTCGTAAATAGGATCTCAATTCACGACAATACTAGCACATTATTTTCAGGCAGCTTTTCCAATTCAATTAAATGATATCAAGCAAATTCCATTAAATTTTAAATCTGACATAAACAGCGAACATCTATCTATCTATTATAGATGAGAGCGAGTGAGAGATATGTTGTTGTGTCGTCGTTGTATTGTCGTCGTTGTGTCATCGTTGTATCCGTCGTCATCATCGTTGTGTCGTCGTTGTTGTGTTGTTGTGTCATCGTCATTGTCGTCTCGTCGCGTCGTCGCATCGCATCATGTCGTCGTCGTGTCATCGTCATCTCGTCGCATCGCGTCGTCGTTGTCGTCTCGTCATTGTCGCATCGCGTCGTCGTTGTCGTCGCATCGCATTGTCGTCGCATCGTGTCGTTGTCGTCGCATTGCGTCGCATCGTCGTCGTCATATCGTCATTGTCGTCGCATCGTGTCGTTGTCGTCGCATTGCGTCGCGTCGTCATCGTCATTGTCGTCGTCGTGTCGTCGTCATCGTCATCGTATCGTCGTCGTCGTCATTGTCGTCGTATCATCGTCGTCGTGTTGATGTTGTTGGGTTGTTGCTGTCGGGTCATCGTCGTTGTCATCGCACCATCATCGTCGGCCAAAGTGGCAAGTGAGAGTAGCGATGAGTGAGAGCGAGTGAGAGCGGGAAGAAAAGTTCAAGTTGAACTTTTGTGAGCGCACCGTCACATGAACAAACATATACAAATGTTGGACTTAGGATATTTCCAGCGCTGTAGCACAATTAATTGATCCCGCTGATGCCTTGTAGAGCGCCGCTGTACTTTCACATTTGCAATAAGCAGCAATCAGAAACATGTAAAGCATTGTTTTGAAAATACTTAATGTAGTCTTATTGAAAGCGGAGGCCGCTGGAAGCGGTACAGCCAGTTTCAAAAGTTGTCCGCTAAAGGTATCTTCTCACGAGAAGGGCTTGAATAGCATTGTAATGGGATAAATAAATAGGGCCAAACGACAATGCACGAAATAATTGGGATAAGTCTACTACCACCCCTCATTATCTGAAAAGGAGGAATGTCATAGCTTTGTGACTAAATCTAATGGTATTTTATATTTGTCGACAAATGCCCGAGGCTCTTTCCATCAAAAGGCCTTAAATAACATTGTAATTAAAAAACAAGATCAGGTAAGATGTCGAAGCTCAAAACAATTGGCTCAGGTATACTACCACTACTCATTGGCTGCAAAGGCGGAATGTCCCAGGATTGTTATAAATCATTCATGTTAAGCTGGATTTACAAGCATACATGAGTATATATGTGCAACTCAAATTGCTCGCAGTATATAAGCTAATATTTGGCGGCAGCAGAATTACATCGTGCTATACTTCCCACGGCTACAATATCGAGGACTCATCAATTCACTGATGATAAGACGAGTGTCTTTGAAGAAGGTAACCAATGCGATTACGCGGTTCAGACATAAGCACCATACTCTTCCAACCACACAGGAGGGCCCGCAGATGCTTGAAATTTCTCACCACCACGAACCAGCTTTATCTATGTGCTCGGAATATACCGAGCGTCCCAATTCTTTGGATGCACCTGCGAGTGAGGAGAGCGAGTCTTCCCGTCGATCCATTGCCCGTCAGCGCTTTAAGGGAGCTGTTCGTTCTGTCATCATGATGCAGCAACAGCAAGCGGGGCAGGTCCCGCTGTATCTACGGCCCTTCATGCCGCCACGGATACCTTCCTTTGACCGGAACTCCACTGCGGGAATGTCTCCCACCCGATTCTCGTCCATCGGTTTGAACACCATTCGAGGACAGAGAGTTTCCACGTTGATTCCAAAGCTGAGAACTTTAGAACCCATACAGGACCTTTCCATACATACAGCCCTTGTTCGGCATCTATAGTTCTCCCCAAACGGAAAATATCTCGCTACGTCAAGGTGCGTTATGATTTCTTTGTGGCTTCTCCGGCTGATATGCTGCGTCAAGTTGGGATCGGTCTTCTATCATTTTTCGTGTCGGGTCAAGCATATGAGGTGTTGCGCTTTACAAACATTGTTTACATTAATTTTTCCCAGGAATCTTTTTCAACTCGGGCTGTTCTGGTACATGTGCGAGGTTTTATCGGCCAAGTTGCATGGTATGCAGCGAGTGTTTCACTATCTTTAAATGCAAATGTTCAAATGTGATCGGACAGGTCTGCGACCGGTACCATTCTCTTGACAAGATTAACTCGCGGAATCAAGGTCTGGACGGAGGATGGACTCAGTAAGAGAACAATCGACCGGCCGCACTCTGTATCATCTATTGCATGGCTGCCTAACAGCGACAGTAATTCGTTTTATGGTCCTGTCTGGTTGTACGTTACTGATGCTTTACGACAGCACATTTCTTCTCCGTCGAAGGTAGTGATGTTTTTAGACTGGTTAGCAAAACTGTCATTATTTGTGTATGCACTGATAAATCGTGAACTCTTTCTTCAGGACATCCAAGGAAAGGTGTGATTAAATTACTCGGTGTCAGCCGAATCCCGACTGAATATATTTCAAGGTTCTTGATTCGTATCACTTTGGTCGCATCCAGTTGCACAATGTAGCTGTGACTCCAGATGGTCAACGGCTACTGGGTGTGGGTCCACTCCTTGCCGCACCACTAGGGTTGAAAAACACATAATAGGTGAGCATTGTGCATGTCCACAGGCCATCTGGTTGACTTCGTATCACCTAGTTTTCAATATTGAGACCAAACAATTCGAAAGGTGAGCTACCTTCTATCAAAGGTGAAGAGACTCGGACTAGAGAAACTAAGGGCGAGAACAGAACTCAGTCTTGGTTCAAAAAGACTGAGGGAGATTGTTCGACGAGAGGAGGAATTAATACGTTTGATTGGGACGGAGAGTCAATAGGAAACGTGTATGACGCATGGTAGGAGGAGTGTTCGTGTATGTAAAATGAAAAGGCTAAGTACGTGTAAGGGTCATATCTTGATACTCCCACTCGAACGCAAAACGCTAGAGACGCGGGCGTGCTCATTCAACTGGGTCTTCGTTTGACGATGAACGAAGAGCAAGCGAGTGTCGATGGTTGCGGAAAAGTTTTCGTGGTAGGGATTTCGTGAAGATGTCGGCAATCATATCATGTGTGGGTACATAGGGAATGATGATGGTGCCGTCGCTGACCAGATCTCGAACGAAGTGATAGCGGACGCGAATGTGCTTGGCCCGGTCGTGGAATTGAGGGTTTTTCGTTAGTGCGCGACTTCCATTGTTATCACCATATAACGTGGTGGGGGTGATCAGCGAGAGGTCAAGACCAAAATCGCATAGCAGCTGGCTGAGATGGATCTGTTCGCGGGCCGCGTTAGAGAGTAAGATGTATTCAGCTTCAGTAGACGAAGTCGCAACGACGGATTGCTTTTGGGAACGCCAACTGATGGGGGAACCGAAAAGAAAGTAGACATAGCCCCCAATTGAGCGACTGTCGTCTTTATCAGACGCGAAGTCAGAATCCGAATAACCGATGAGTCCTTGGTTGGACAAACCAAACGTTAGGGAATGATGTGTGGATCCACGAAGGTAACGAAGGAGATGGTGAAGCTGGCGGTAGTGGTCTATGCCAGGGTTACTCAGATATTTTGACAGCGCCGATACTGCATATGCAATATCGGGACGACTAACGCGCATGGCGAAGTTGAGTTCCCCAACGACACGCGCGTATGGCATGTGCGCAAATTGTTGGATTTCGGCTTGAGTGAGGGGTGCAGATGACTTCGTCAAGGAGATCCCTGGAACCATGGGGGTAGATACTGGTCGACAATCTGACATCCGAGTTTCACTGAGAATCTGTTCGAGAAAGGAGGATTGGTTGACGGTAAGGTGCTTCTTAGAGCGATCTCGTGTAATGTGCATTCCTAAGAAATGACGCGCTTCACCAAGGTCCTTCATTTCAAAACGTTTGCTCATCTCCGATTTGAAACCGTTAAGGAAATCCCGACAGTTCGATGCGAGCAACATGTCATCGACGTAAACAAGGAGCCAGATGGTCTTGTCATCTTTTCGTAAAACATACAGACTATAGTCTGCTTCGCTACGAACAAAATTAAAACCTTCTTTTCGCAGGAAATCATCGAGTGTCTTGTTCCATTGACGACCGGCTTGCTTGAGTCCGTAGATGGCCTTGAGGAGTTTCCAGACCCAATCTGGATGCTCAGGGTCTTCGAAGCCTGGAGGTTGACGCATGTAGATTTCTTCGTCAAGCTCGCCATTGAGAAAGGCGGTCTTCACGTCCATTTGATCAAGTTCAAGATCAAACTTAGCGACCATGGAGAGTAGTGCACGTACGGTGTCGTATTTTGCAACAGGAGCAAAGGTGTCGGTGTAATCTAGTCCTTCGATCTGTGTGAAACCCTGCGCAACAAGGCGGGCCTTGTGGCGGGCAATCTGGCCATTTTCGTCATACTTGTGCGAGTACACCCACCGTGAGCCGACTGCTTTTCTCCCTGATGGGAGTGGTGTTAAGACACCCACTCCTTTTTCTCCCAACGAAGCTAACTCTTCATTCATTGCGCTTTCCCAATGACCCGAATCCATTGACAAGCGAGCGGCAGCTATCGTTTTGGGGGGAAGCTTCCGTCCATCAATCTTGTTGCTGTCCGCCAAGGATACATGCTTCGCGGAGTGCTCAATGGTGACATCGGGGGTAGCACTAATACTAAGATTTTCTTCTTCAACAACCTCCTCCTCAACAGTGACCGGTACATAAGTCCAACGCCGCTGTACTGGGACATGTTTTGTTGGGATGGCAACAGTTTTCGGGACTGCTGGTCGCGCGTCAATGCGTTGACGTGTCGAACGTCGTGGCTCAGGAGATGGTACCGTTTCTACCGGAACTTCAGCAGGGACAGGGAGAACATTGTCGTTCGACTGCGGGAATGGCTGTGGAGGTTCGGGGATGAGAGGAGCAGAAGTCGGAAGTACTCCCACTGAAACGGTACTGGGTCCTGGTAGTGTAATACCGGAATCATCTTCTCCAGGTCGTGTGGTTCTGAAGCCGTCTTCTGATATCGGCAAATCATGTGGCAATGCGAGGGTGGGCTGCTGCATTGCAATGCGCTGGTTGTGTAATTCAACGAGGGGCGAGAGAACTGAGTTGGGTGTGCCGTAGAAGAATTTTTCATCAAAAAGGACATTTCGAGAGCGCACCGTCTGTCGTGTCGCTGGATCCCATAGAAGATATCCCGCATCTTTGACGTGCCCCAGTAGGAAGCACCGTCTCGAAACAAAGTCGTACTTGTGGCGATTGTCGTCTGGGATGTGAGCATATGCGAGGCAGCCAAACGGACGTAGGTGCGAGACATTTGGTAGTTCACCATAGAAGAGTTCAAACGGCGTTCTGTTGTCAGTAGCTGACGACGGGAGGAAGTTCTTGATGTATACTGAGTTGAGGATGGCGTGGCCCCAGAACGAACGAGGAAAACCACTCTGGTGATGGGCACTTAATGCTCGGGTGGCAATGGTCTGGTGTCCACGTTCGGCAACACCATTCTGTTCGGCTGTATGAGGCATCGTAAGTTCGTGCTCAATTCCTTTACTACGCAGGAATTCAATAGTAGCGTGAGAGACGTATTCGCCACCGTTGTCACTGCGGAGGCGTTTAACTCGTTGCCCTGACTGGTTTTCAATCCAGGCGATATATCGCAGAAGGTGCGAGTGTACCTCACTCTTGTGCTTAATGAGGTAGATAGTGGAATAACGCGAAAAATCATCAGTGAAGGCAACAAAGTATGTTTCGCCGGACGGGGTTGCAGTGTTGACGGGTCCCCAAACGTCAGTGTGAACAAGTTCAGCGACGTGCGTTGCACGGTGTCGAGCATGAGACGGGAACGGCAATCGTTTTTGTTTGCCCATTAGGCACGACGGACAGTCAATGTGGTCACCAGGTCCTGTAGACTCGTCTAACAGGTTAAGTGACAGTCCTAATACAACCTTCTCAGCTTTGCGCAAGGTGGAGTTTGCGGCATGGCCCATGCGTGCATGCCATACAGCTAGTGGTAATGGCGTAGCCGAGGTGGACCTGGTGGCAAAGGCCGTATGGGTGTGCTTGGCTCGAAGGTAGTATAGACCGGCAGAGCATTCCACACGTGCGATCACAGTCTTATCAGCACGACGCATTTGTCCTCCTTCAGCATCCGTTTCGAAGAAAATTCCCTCCGACGCTAGAGCAGACACTGATATCAGTGTGCACCGTAGGTCTGGTACGTGGAGGAAAGGGAGTTCGATAGACTCATGTCTTCCGTCGAGCACTAGCGTGATGAATCCCCAACCTGGGGCAAGAACAGTATCGTCATTCGCAAGTTTCACGATTAATGGAGGGTTGTAAGTTCTGTAGCGAGTGAAGAGGGAGTGATTGGATTCCATATGTGCGGTGGCGGCAGAGTCTACGTGGAATTGAAAAGAAATAGTGCTCGTATTAGAGAAACTAGCAGAGTGTGTAGGAAGACGAAGAAACGATGGAATGCCGTCAGGTTGTCCTGGTAGGGGAACTGATATGTCAGTACCTTGTGAAGGTGAGGGGGGAATGCACGCTGACGTGTTTGATGAGTCGGATTTTGCTAGACGAGCACGGCAGTTGTTCCAGATATGGCCTGTGCGCTTGCAAGATCCGCACGTCGAGCGCCACGACAACTCCCATTTATCTCCCTTGGAGGCGTCAAAATCCTTCGGTTTGGCACGCTCAGTAGGTTTACCTGCTTTCGCCACCCTAGCAGCCATGGCTGTGTGGTGCGCATGTGGGTTTGCAGAGCCGAAACTTGCATAATATTGTTCCGAGTTCCTGATCTGGCTGATGACTCCTTCCAGCGTTAGCTTCCCGGTATTGGCGTCAGCACTATGGAGTATGAGCTGGGAAAGCGGCGCATAGAAGTCGGGAAGGGCACGCAGTAGCGCTTGGACAAGGGTATATTCGTTGCACTTCCATTCGATGGATTCAATGACCTTGAATTGGGCCTTGATGTCCGTGATCTCCTTAATGGTCTTGGTAAGAGAGTCGCTATCAGATGCTTTGGGAAGGTCAAAGATACGGCCCATGAGGCTCGTAAAGCGGATGCCAACAGACGCCTGATACTTGTCTTCTAGCGCTTTCCAGATGACGGCTGGATCAGTGACACCCATGAAGTGGATGAGGTCACTTGAGTGTACCGTCATACCAAGGAGTCCTTTGGTTATGCTTTGGCGTTCTCGGAAAGAAATGACGTCCGCGCTCGCATCATGTGCCGCGAGGCGTTTGTTGAAGTCAGCCTCAGTCTCAGTGGTGCTTCTGGTTGGGCGCGGAGGACCCTTCTCATCTCCTGAAAGGAGGCGCCAAAGGTTGAAGAGCGAGAGCCAAAGGTCCATGGTCGTTACCCACGAGGTGTAGTTGGAGCCATTGGCGTCCAGAGGAGGGTGAGGAAAAGATGTTGGAATCCGGATGTTGGACGACGATATGGTGGACATGACAGGTGTCGAACGATGTGTCGGCGATGGCGACAATAGAATGGGAAGATTCAATGGGTGTGGTAACGAGCGAGTTGGTACGACAGGCGTTAATGGCGGCGATGGCGGCAAGGGAATGGATAAGATCCGCAGGTCAAGCGGGGATAGAGGGCGACCTTGTTCCAGTTCGGAAAAGGTCGGAGAGGCTCAGATAAGGCGAGTGGAAGCGAGAAACGAATGTATGCCTAGTCTGAGCCAGGGCTCATAACCTATCAAAGGTGAAGAGACTCGGACTAGAGAAACTAAGGGCGAGAACAGAACTCAGTCTTGGTTCAAAAAGACTGAGGGAGATTGTTCGACGAGAGGAGGAATTAATACGTTTGATTGGGACGGAGAGTCAATAGGAAACGTGTATGACGCATGGTAGGAGGAGTGTTCGTGTATGTAAAATGAAAAGGCTAAGTACGTGTAAGGGTCATATCTTGATACCTTCATCTTTTCGAGTATCTTTACTGATGGAGTTCAAAAGTCAGACACCCGTCGTGAACGACGTGCGTGATATCACGATATCCAAAAGGGGTGGAAACGTGCTGATTTCTTTTGAGCGCAAGGTACCGAGAGTCATGATATCTTTACATCTTCTGATCACTTATATCGTATTCGTAGACACCTCCACAGTTGTGGAAGATAGGGCTGGTACGGGATGCCAAAGGTCGTGAACAACATTCGTTTGCACAAGTCGCTAGGCTGCTTCTCCGTCATACGTATCTGCCCAAAGCCCAGGTGGACATCGCGGGCTCTAGCTACTTTGGCGGCAAAGAGGACCACTCATGAATACTCGGACACAGCGGGCGATATCCACATTTGGGATCGCGATAGTGCGGCTTTACTTCATTACATTAGACCCCAAACATTCGGCGGGGACTTGACATGTGTTGCGTGGAATCATTCCACCGACGAACCCTTTATGTTCGCCACAGGCAGCCACGACGGTACGGTACGCGTATGGACAACACCAGCGGGGGACCGCTCTTCTAATGATGCTTCCTATCTCGAGCGGCGCACTGATGCCGGTGCGACAAATTCGGATCAGTACGGGTCTTCCCCCATCCTGAGCCCGCCACCTGCGCCTGGATCCAGTCGTCGAGAAAGAGCGCCGACCATACGGACCACATTCTCGATTGGGCCCCCTGGGTAGAACATCGCTGAGATTCCGCATGAGCGCCTAATAGATGTGTGCGGGTCTGCATGTTCGCGTGTTCACCCAGATTTTATATATATTGTCCCTGTTAGTAACTTATTTAGGACAGTATAGTTTTAATACAACACTGTAATCACGCAATCATTCATCCTTAGACCCTCTTGGTCAAGACTACAGCTTGAAAATACAAACCAAGTATTGACAACATTACACAGAATTTCAGTCGCTTAATTCCGACTGTAATTTGCGATAGCGTATATTTCCAACCTGAGTGGATTTTCCAATCATACCGTCGCCGAAGAAATGAAAGAAGAGTATTACGTGTCGAACGAAAGGATTACCATATGGCATAAATGCAATTCATAGTATGTGGTAGGAGGGAAGGACTAGGGGCGTGTGAGTGTTGTACATAGAACATTACATTTGGTCTGATTTCATAATTGTAATGTCGAGTAACCGTACGAGATATCTTTGCATTTCAAAACGCAAGAGTGACTGCTCGCGGAGAGGGCTGTATCTCCACGGGCAAGACGTAGCATACTCCAGTCTCTCTAGAAAGCTGGAAAAAAAAGTAGTTAAGGATCGCAGCATGTAACATCACCGACGACTTACCGGCGAACCACGCACGTAAGCTGGATCTTGTAGCTTCATCACATGCCTCCATCGTGGATTGGAACGTTGTGAATGCCTCTCCAATTTTACCCGCTCGCATGAGAGCGCGGCATAGTTGCTTGTGGGCGGTGAGCCACAATGACTCAAGATCCCACCCGAAGAGCTGCCAAAAAAAACACGCAATTGAACATGAAGAAACATCGTTGACTGTGTAACACCAACGTACCACAGTAAAATCCCCATACATACGATGAATTGGCGATTTGGAAAAGAAAACGCTAGCCTTGACAGCGGAAGTGAAATGGTTGACAGCTTCAAGCTTACGAGACCAGCTGCTCAAGGCAATGGTGCCTAATTGGACGTGTAGATACGTCTGATGCGAAAATCGGTATCATCAAAGTCAGCACACAAAACTGTGCTTGATACTCACTTCAACGACACGGCAAGCAAGAAGATCGGTATCGGGAAAATCAGTGACTAGTTCTTGGACGCGCAGCATTGCCTCATCATGTTTATTTGCATTAAACAGTGCGATAGCCTGTGACTCATAATGAAGCGCGGAGTGTGCAATAAAAGAGAAACATGCCTTGATCAAGAAAAGTAAATGTGTTGTCCTTGCAACACCATCAGCCGATCTGAACGCAAGGTCAAAAACTTTCGTGGCGTCCTGGAACTGCCTTTTCCCATAGAGGGCAATGCCCTTCGCAATATAGCCTGTTAACGATGGATTAATGCGTATTGACTATGCCAGGATCAATGTTAGCATATGTGAAGTGCATGCCGGATGACTTCATTTGCATCTCGAAGTGCATGATCCCAGTTGCGTTTGCGTGCCATAACAAATGAGCGAGTGGCATAGGAAGTGTAGTTGTTGGCGTGGGCCGTGATCCCTTGCGTGACTATCTTTTCAGCCGTAGACAATTCCCCCAAAAGAAGGGCGTTGCGGGCACTCGTGGTGATGGTGAGAATCTAAGGTATGCTCGAATTTAGTTATTAGAGTCAACGGTGGAAATATGCCTTTGAATCGGAGCTTTCGGCCTTGAAAATAGAAAAAGAGACGAGACGAGACGAACAATCAGAACGGACAGGATGATAATGGGAAAATACCTTTAACCTAGCATCCTTGGGCAAAGCATTCTTGGGTACTGCCCACTCTGATATCTTCTCATCGTCACCTCCGCTGAGTATATGCTTGCCATCCATGGAGAACGTGACACAGCACACCCGATCAGAGTGCTGGAAGATGGAGATAGTTCGTTGATCTGAAAGGCGCCAGAGACGGACTTGCTTATCATCAGATGCAGAAGCGACCAGCGTTCCAGCAGGACTCGGATGAATCGCAATGACATTAACATCCTTGGTGTGTCCCACCCAGGCATCACCGACCTGCTCCCAGGTGGATCCATCCCACTCTCGTATGGTAGGATCCTCATAATTGCCTGATGAAAGGAGGCCTGTGCCATCGGGTGTCCAGGTGAGCGAACAATTATATGAGCTGTGACCATTAAACTTTGCGATACGGTGCCTCGTGCCCGGATTATATATTTCGATGTTGCTGGCTGTTGCAATAGCAAGATGTTCGCCAGAAGGCGAGTAGCGAACACAGAAGACACGATCATCACACGTGATCGGTCTTCCTTGTAACTGCCAGGTTTTCGTATCCCACAACTTCGCCTTTTGGTCCATTGAAGCGGTGGCTAGCACTGCACCACTGGGAGAAAAGTCCAGGGATATCATCCCGAACTGGCTTTTGATAGCTTTGATGAGAAATTCTCCAGTTGCTCCGTGCCAGGCGATGACTTCTCCCTTCTCATCACCACTTGCTATCAATTGCCCGTCTCGCGATACCGCTAATGCCCACACCTCACTCTTAGTATGCCCCGCCATCATCTTCAACAATGTACCTGCCCTCAAGTCCCACATACGAAGCCAGGAGTCCGACGAGGCAGTGACCATACGCTGTCTATCAGGGAGCACTGCGACTGCGAGCACCGCTTGATAGTGATCTTCAAACACTCGAATGGGTGTAGTGCTAGGGCTGAGCCGATTTATTTTGCTGGAGGCTGATGGTATTGGGTACGGTCCTTGGAGATTGACTTGCTAGAGAGATAGTATCGGTCTCGTTTTAAGTCCTGAAGGTGCGTCCACCGAGCGTCTTTATACTGCCTCACAGCATCAGCCCCATCAGAACTCTCAATACATATAAAGCTGTGATGATAAGCGCCTTCGTGTTGCCGCTCTGATGAATTGACGAACTCTCCTGAATACCATGCATCAACAACAAAGCTATCGAACAAACTCAGTCCTTAGCTTCAATCGTCGAGACACCAAATTAATACGAACGTTCAAGCCCTTGCCAGCTCAAATGCACAATAGCAGTCTTTCAATCTCCACTAGTGGCACGTCCCGAGGCAGGACGCTTCCTTCCCAAATGTTATAGTCATATTTATAATTCTTGAACAACAAGTACGCCAATTGAAGTTATTTTGTCCTATACTAAAGTGACTCGACTGAACATCTCCATCTAAGGTCCTTCACTCTTACGACTTCTATCGCATTCAGACGTGACTGTCACTATATATGGCTAGCGGTTGCGTCCACCACAAGCCACTTTAATAAGCATCTGATAGGTGAGTCAGGTGAGTGTGGGGCCACGGGCACTACCACAGACACGAGTCACCACCTCGTTTGTCTTCGAATTATCTACTGATGTAGCTCAAAAATACAATTCCTCGCTGTCGACGATGGGCATGGCATCATGAGTTTGGTCGAGTACGCCGTAGCGAGGGTCATTAAGTACGTCTATTCATGCAGTTTGTATTTGCGGAAACGTCCGCGGTAGGCTCACACATGATCCTAAGGATCGTGAAAACTCCTCGCAATTTGCGTGACTAATTATGCGTTTCACGTATCTGCAATAGCTCACGGGATACTGCGGTTCGGGTCACGTACTTATGCAGGAAGGAAGCTACCACCACGTGTGCGTATATATACATTTTATGTGTGCTTGGAACGACGGGCGATGTTCATATCTAACGCGGTACTGCAACTTCGTTCCGCTACGTTGGACTTGTGCATTTTCATGAAGGAACTTCCTCAGATACTTTGGCTCAATTTCTACTTGACAACCAAGGCCGGCGATGCGTAGTTGTTCTAGACGTACGTTCTCAGCCTTTTCCCACGACACTGGCTCACTTTCAATCCAAAGGCATTTGCTCTTCTCTCATGCCTTGAGCAAGTCCATATACCGTTGTGAATACGACCGACAGTTGTTCACCCTTTGTTGGCACATTCATGTTCACCTTCTCTTCCGACCGCAATCCACATGTTTATGTTGGCACCGTCGCATTCGGTACAATGGCATGTGCATATACTTGCTCTTTTCCCGTTCAAACGAGTGAACTCCCAAGATGCACTTCTTTGCAACTTCACCATCACACTTTGTGCGATTCTGATGGACGCATGGTACTGAGCCTTACTAACCAGACGTGGGTCTTTTGTTCTGTGCATCTAAGAGCATCCACTTTCAGAAACTTCTCAAGTGGTCTGTTCTTGCTGCGCACGCCACCTTCATACTGAAGACAGACCCAGGTCAGGACCCAGATGAACGATTCAGCATCATACGCATACACATGGTCGACCTTGCCTGCCATGGCTTTTGGCGAGGGAACGTTTACTGCCGGCGCTCGAGGCCGCTAGGACTGTCTCGTTAAAATGACGATAAGTCGTAGTCGTTGAGAACGCCTATGAATTGACCATGTAAGCGGCACCCCATGATATTGCTGAGACTGACGTTGCAGTGATATATACCCCTTTTCCAGAGGGCGCGATGGCCTGTCAGAATATGGAATGCATGTACGAAGAGCACGAGAAGGAAAAAAACACTTACACTTTACCATTTGCCACCACGCGGCGAGGAACTCCCTCTGGGTGAGCAAAGTGATGAGGAGAAGCTTTTTGAACACCACGATGCACAGGGCACAGCTGCTCCGTTGAGCGTCCTTGAGTCCTAGTGTGCGCCTGATTTTTGCGGTGGATGTTCGCTTGTCGAACTAGATCATCTCCGGATCAGCAATGATGCCAGTGGCCCAGTAAAGGCGTTCGTTACGAGCGAGAGGGTCACGAGGAGTCTAGAACTAGAACGACAAAGACAAGATCTCAGTTGTCTCGAACGAAAACTCTATAACGGTGCGTCTACCTAGAACGACAAAGACAAGCTATAACTAACGTTAGACGCGTCGTAAACTCTAGGGACTTTTTGGCACGTACATCTCAGTTGTCTCGAACGAAAACTGAGATGCACATGCGGTACTGCTGGTAATCTTATAGTAAGTTGGTCAGGTACTGGAACATATGAATGAGAGACTGAAAAATAAACTAGGACGCGAGCCGACGTCATACGTCGCTCGTCTTCATCCGTTTTTGGCGCGCGCTCGAACCATTCTCCCCTTATCACTCGGATCCTTCGGACTCTCTCGACTCTGATCTCCCCCTGGCGTCGGATCTCTCGGCCTCGTACTCCAACACCCAGCACCTCTGATTGATCTTTTTTTGTAACCTTGTAGACATCATCGAGGATCTGAGGCTTTCTCTGGTGCCTCCTCTGGCCAATAGAGACTTTTATGTATATTTCCGTGCTGAGCGACAGCCGACAGTGTGCATATTCGCAGGACGGGCCCGGGAGGGAGGCTTTGGGAGGTTTGTGCTTTGATCGGAGAACTGCAAGGAAAATGAACTGCATAAGGAGATGGTGTTGCGGATGCCCACAGGGATCAGTCAGAAGATGGAGTTGTGTGGTTGGTTGGGTTGCGCTTAGATGACATTGATTTGTATAAGCCGGGACCATTCTCAGGAATCGCACTCCCCTATATCTCACTATCATGATGTATGAAACCGAAAAAAATGCGATGCCCAGTGTTCGGTGCGAAGCTGAAGCAGCGTACGTTGTAGATATATTCAGATACCTACTGAAAGTTGTGCGATGGGCAGAGCGAGAGGGGTTAAAGAAGAAACTTGATCATAATGCGAAGAATGATTCAACGACGGGGGACGAAGCACACCAAACAATTTTCAACCGACACGTTGTACCATGTCGGAAGCGAGATATGCAGCGAACATGTATGAATAAGGAGCACAACGGTGGCGAACAGCAAAATGATGGGGTAATCATGAAGGATAATGAAGGCACCCGCAGACACGTAGAGTACATCACCAACTTATAAAGATATTAATATGGGTAGAGATCCGCCTAACAGTTCAGGAGACGCAAGATTTGACCGTTCTCCCGAGCTCTCCTTGGTCGAGGAGACAATGACTCGGATCCTATGGATGGACAAGCAACGACATCTGCCGAGTGGGTGGACCTTGCCTGCAGAAGATGGATCAGGGCCTCTTGTGTGGTGATCGACAAGTCGCGAGTCTCAGCGCACTACCGTTTGACGTGACATTCATCCCCTGAGCTCCGATGTGTAACCTTGAGGACTACAGGAAAGTGATTCTAAGGCTCGCTGATGGCAGCTGGGTCCTCTTCTCCCACTTTTACTCCATACAAGAAAGATCGCACAGCCCGGCTGCGGAATGCGGACAGTGACTTCTGATAAGACGTCCTGAATCAGATCCCTCGGTTATTCGTGTGTTCAAGCTTAAGAATGAACAGAAGTGTTCGGCGAAATGGAAGTTTGAAATCTGTAAATCAGAAACGGAGGCAAAGGCAAAGGCTGCCGATCAGTAAAATTCTTCTGCAAAATTTTCTTGTGCGACGCGCGGGACGCTTGAACGTCAAGATGGACCAATAAAATGTTTCATTTACATCGCACCCAATAGATGCTAAGGGCAACAACCACAGCATAATTCGAGGATGAGTGATTTCGATGCTCCCTGGGTCCTCGTCTCACACTTCTGTTGTAGAAAAGCTCGCGCAGTCTATTAGTTATTCGGATGCAGAGAGAGATGGCTGAAAAGAACATCGAGAAAGACCATCAGATTCCTTGATTATTACTCAGGTGTTCAGGGGGACTACTGAAAGTGACTTGTCGTCCGAAGATTTGAAATTTGTAAATCAAAACGGAGGTAAAGGGCCGCCGTGAAGGTGACAGCTGTACAGCCTATGGTTCTTCAACGCGCCCACAAGCCCTGATGGCGTGCCAGCCCAGTGAGAATGATCGCATGCGCCTCTGTACGCGGTAAAACTTTATACCATAACAAACCTTCTTTATTTGGATTGCAACCGGCACGTGTTGGATACATGCCAAAGAAAACAAGAGAGATCAAGGTAGGAATCTAGGGATACATGATGATCTGACTCATGGTCGAAGGTGATTACATAATTGTCGTTGTCACGAACTCGGTCAATTTATCGTTTACTAAACCGTGAGTCTGGCTCAGACTGCCATCAACTTCGTTCAACTAGTACTTATCGATTATCAATTGTGGACCTTGACTTGAAATATCTAACAATGGTGTTTTGCTAGTTTAAAAGCTAGCTCAGGTTTGCGTATCCAGATTTTCAACCCACTTTCTTTTCTATCTGAGCCTCCTTAAGCCTCATCATCATGGCCGACAATGCTGACGCCACCGTACGTGACAAGACACCTCCCCGTAACTCTGCCTTGTCTGCCGATTCGGAGACTGGGCTCAAGTCCACCCCACTCGCAGTCGGTTCCGCTATTGTCAGCGAACACATCAGTACTGTTGGCCTTAAGTGCGTCAGCTCTCCTTTTGTTCTCGCCACCATCACTCATCAGTGAACTTCGCAGAGTCAAAAATGTCAGCCCATGGATCGCGAGGGACGTCCAAAACTTTGAGAAGTGTAAGGCAGATACGATGCTGCAAGAACTCCTTGCAAGATGCACAGGTCGCTCTCAAAACCTTTCTGTCAACGAGAAATCGAAGCTACTCGAAACTGCCCTCAATGCTGTTCTGCCTATCTGCAATGCGGGGGCTGTAGCGCAGGAGATAAAGGGACACCTGACTAATTTGTAAGTCAGTATCTCGAGCAGTGCGAAAGAAAACTGACGCCGTTGTCAAGTTGTGATACCAACCTCGAACCATTGACATATGCTCCTTTCGTCAAAGCCGCCAACTGTGCGCTCCGTGAACTAAGCAAGGTGAATGTAGATGGGATACCTGCGTTCAAGATCGACAACAAGACCAACATTCTACTTCATGTCAATGATCCAATGCCCATATACCAGGACCACCAGGACAAACAGTCCGAACGCAAGCCTGACGTTGTCGTGGTCTCTCATCAAACTGCCCTGGGTACGAAAGCACACGAAACGCAAGAATCCCAGGTTCTTACCGAGACGGCGTGCAAATCGCCCACAGACAACTTTCAATGGACCGATGTTCGATCGACATTGGAGTTCAAACGCACCCGGAAGTCTCTGACCCATCCGCCGTCCGTTTATAAGACAGATTATGTCGTTCCTTCTCCTTCTGCGCAGTACATGGAATATAGGAAGGACACGAACGGCCCTGCTAAGCCAACAGGTTCAACGCCTGCTACTGGGTCTGCTCAGACCCCCCACGAAGCATCGAATGAGTGTAAGCTGTAGTTTGTCCGTTTTGTGCTTTCTGACTGACATGTGCGAGGTAGTAAGACCCTCGTCGCAATCGAGCAGAGGAGTCAAGCGCAAGCGAGGCGGCAACAATGAAGATCGGACTGAAGAGGACGACCCGACAAAACCCCCTCCTATCGTCCAGAACGGCCTCTACGTTGCAGAGATGTTCGCGGCTCACATCGCGCGGCAACACGTCATCTCCTTCATAGTGAACAGTAAGTTGATGGGATGCTGTTAACCTGGCGCCAAACTGACAACTCCTTCCAGACGATTATATTTACATCTGGTTTTGTGATCGCGAAACTACGATTCAAGGCGCTGCCATCAACTTCGTTCAGGACCTTCCACGCTGGTTGGTCTTGCTTCTCATCATGCAGCGGATGGGATACGAACAATGGGGCCTCAACCGCGTGTTTGAGCCTGAGCCCGGATTTTCGGGCAAGGTGATGGTTGAGGATACCCAGATCGACCTTGAGTTGGATGTGAAGTCTAAGGAGCGCGTGACTCATTTCGGTATACGCGGACGTGCAACTACTGTGTTTCCGGTAAAGAGCGAGGCACTATCAGATCGGCAGCGGGACGCCTGTTTTCTGAACGAATCCCCTGAACTGGTGGCCAAGCTCTATTGGCCAGAAGAGACGCGTCAGAGCGAGCCGGACATCCTCAAGGAGGTTTACAAGATTGCACAGACAGATCCGGATGTGCGAGGCCACGTCCCAGAGCTGGTCTGGTTCCACAAGTTTGAAGAAACATCCACGTCCAAAATCCGAGTCGCACTAGGACTGAAGGACGCTGAACGGGCCGAACAGGGCAGCCGCGTCCTGTACATCATCGTATTCAGAAAGCTTATCCCAATTACGACGCTTTCTGGCGAGGAGTTCATTGTCGCATGGTGGCAAGTTGTGAAGTGTAAGTTTTTTTCCCGTTCTCCTGCTCTTCATCATTTATCCACTACTCGATAGGCCATCGCGCCCTCTGGAAGCGAGGCGTTCTTCATCGGGACGTCAGCCCTAGCAATCTCATGGTGTACCGCTTATGCGGTCAATACATAGGCGTTCTCAACGACTACGACTTATCGTCGTTTAAACGTGATGGTCCCAGGGGCCTCGAGCGCACCGGAACGGTACCATTCATGGCGGTAGAGCTTCTCTCGCCAGACGCCATGGCAGGCAAGGTCGAGCATCTGTATGCGCATGATGCTGAATCGTTGATCTGGGTCCTCACCTGGGTCTGTCTTCGGTATGAAGGTGGAAACCTCCTCAGCAAGAACAGACCATTGGAAGAATGGCTGAAAGTGGATGCTCGTACATGCGCAAAGGAAAAGGGCAACTTTGGCTTTACGGGGATCAGAAGCGTGCGTCCATCCACATCACACGCAGAGTCCTGGGACCTTGTAAGGAGGTGCTTTTCGGCGGTCCAGTCACTTTATACTGCATACGAGTACCGCAAACTGACCGATGAATTGGCTTTTCAGTTGTTGCTTGAGAGGCCTAAGCTAGAGCATGACAATCGTAGACGTACTTGTAGTTGAGGTAGCGTGCCTCCCTTATAAGTCGCTTTGTAGAATGAACGGTCACAGGCAAGAAGCGACGGTCTTGGGTACCACTATGACTTTGTAATGAATAGAATACAACAATCATGGAGGCTAAGCGTGCACATTCGAGAACACGTAGTTCCGCTTTCCAGCATCTTTTGTCCAACCAATTAAGTGTTTACAGTATCAAGTCAGTATTGACAACATGACACACGGTTTCAGTTGCCTAATTCCGACTGTAATTTTGCAATGGCGTGTATCTCCATTTTGAGTGGATTGCCCAATCATACCGCGAAGAAATGGAAGAAGAGTACTACATGTCGAACGAAATGATTACAATATGGCATAAATGCAATTCATAGGAGGTGGTATGTAGGAGGAAGGTAAGATGACGATAAGTCGTAGTCGTTGAGCACGCCTACAAATTGACCATGTAAGTGGTATCCCATGATATTGCTGAGACTGACGTTGCAGTGATGTACACCCCTTTCCCAGAGGGCGCGATGGCCTGTCAGAATATTGGATGCATGTACAAAGAGCACGAGGATGAAAGAATACTTACCTACACTTTACCATTTGCCACCACGCGGCGAGGAACTCCCTCTCGGTGAGCATCGTCACAGGGAGAAGCTTTTGAACATGGTGATGCACAGGGCGCGGCTGCTCCATTCAGCGTCCTTGAGTCCTAGTGTGCGCCTGATTTTTGCCGGTCGAACCAGATCGTCTCCGGATCAGCATGCCAGTGGCCTAGCACCTCTAATTGATCTTTTTTTTTTTTGCAATCTTGTAGACTTCATCGAGGATCTGAGGCTCTCTCTAGTGTCTCTTCTGGCCAATAGAGACTTTTATGTATATTTCCGTGCTGAGCGACCGCCGACAGTGTGCATATTCGCATGACGGGAGGGAGGTTTTGGGAGGTTTGCGGTTCGATTGGAGAACTGCAAGGAAAATGAACTGCATAAGGAGATGGTGTCGTGGATGCCTACGGAGATCAATCAGAAGATGGAGTTGTGTTAGATTAGATTGATTTGTATAAGGCCGGGACCATTCTCAGGAATCGCACTCCCCTATATCTCACTATCATGATGTATGAAACCGAAAAAAATGCGATACCGCGAAGCTGAAGCAGCGTACATTGTAGATGTGTTCAGATATTTGCGAGCTACTGAAAGTCGTGCGATGGGCAGAGCGAGAGGGGTCAAAGAAGAAACTTGATCATAATGCGAAGAATGATCCAACGACGGGGGACTAGATATCTAACTTATGTGATTGACAGCGCGGCCCCTTATTAAAGGCGTTTATGACGAGCGAGAGGGTCACGAGGAGTCTAGAACGACAAAGACAAGATCTCAGTTGTCTCGAACGAAAACTCTATAACGGTGCGTCTACCTAGAACGACAAAGACAAGCTATAACTAACGTTAAACGCGTCGTAAACTCTAGGGACTTTTTGGCACGTACATCTCAGTTGTCTCGAACGAAAACTGAGATGCACATGCGGTACTGCTGGTAATCTTATAGTAAGTTGGTCAGGTACTCTTCTAGCCTACTTGCAGTAACTACATTGCCCTCATCCGTGTTCTTCTCTTGGTCTCTTCAGCAATGCGACTTATCAAGGTGCCGGTATGTTCACAACACGTTCACTGTTTGTCGTTGCTAACTTCTAATGCCATTTATTTCAGGACATACTGTCCGCACTTTTGATTCACCACACTGCTGTTCTGGCATTTGTTCACACTCCGGCGTTTTCTGGTGCGGAATGTTCGTGTATCAGGGCTTTATGGTGTGCAATCATTTTGAATTTAGTTACAATATACTTACACTAATATCATCAAAAAACTTTTCAAGCACCATTCTATCCAGTACCTGACCATCTCCCGCATCGTGAAGGATTACCTTGCCATCCAGGGATCCGCAGTTGTGTCCGAGCATGCATTTTCAAGCAGCGGCATTACTGGGACCGCACGTCGCAGCTGTTTGCAGCCAGCAACATTCGAGGCTCTCCAGTTGCTCAAGAGCGCATACCGTCAAGGCCACATTTCTGCAACATCCCAGGCTGAGTTTGCTGCTCCTTACGATAACTGCGTTGTTGTCGAGGAAGAGTTTTAGTAGTTATTTGTACTAGCAGGTTTTGTTCTCATTTTTTGTCAATTTTAATTTTTTTTGCAATTTAAACAATGGTTCGAGAGTTCGAACATGTTCTGAACCTGAACTGAACCCTTCCGAACGCGTTCGAAGGCGTCCGGTCCAAGGTTCGGCCACCATGCCTGAACCTGACCAATGGTCAAGTTCAGGGTTCGCAGACATAGGGCCATGAACCTGACCAAACCGGACTTCGGAGGCACTAACTGGAACATATGAATGAGAGACTGAAAAATAAACTAGGATGCGAGCCGACGTCATACGTCGCTCGTCTTCATCCGTTTTGGCGCGCGCTCGAACCATTCTCCCCTTATCACTCGGATCCTTCGGACTCTCTCGACTCTGATCTCCCCCTGGCGTCGGATCTCTCGGCCTCGTACTCCAACACTCCCCCTCGAGCGCAAGCCACGCTCATCATCGTTCGCAACTTCTGGAGTCGCGGTCTCGGCAGGGCCTTTGTAAAGGCATCGGCCATGTTGTCCTCGGAGGGGCAGTAGAATAGCTTGAACGTGCCGTTCTTGACGTGGGAGTGGACGAAATGGTATCGAAGGTCTATGTGTTTTGTGCGTGATTGGAACTTGCCGTTGGACGCTAATGCGATGGCAGCCTGGTTGTCGCAGAACACGGGGATAGGATTGGGGACGGGGTCGTATAACTCCCCGAGGAGCAACCTAAGGTAAAGTAATTCGCGTATCACACTGGTCAGGGCGATATACTCAGCCTCTGCCGTGGATAGCACGATCAGTGGTTGCTTCCGGGCACTCCATGCAACGGGACCTCCGTTCAAAAGGACTACGTACCCAGACATAGAGTGCCGGTGGGGTTGTGACGCCCAGTCCGCGTCCACGAAGGCTTCAAGACCTCCGTCCGTCGAACCGAGCGTCAGCTCGAAGTCTCCCGTGCCCTTAAGGTAGCGTAGCGCCCTCTTGGTGGCCTCCCAGTGAGGCCTACCGGGGTTGCGCATGAATTGCGACAATGTCGCGACAGGGAACACTATGTCCGGCTTGGTGCTAGTGGCTGCGTTGTGTCAGTACGACGAAGCAGGGTGACTCTATGAATGATGCTTTGTAGTGGATGTGATACTTCTGCTACAAGGCACTGGCGCTACCTCTAAGACTCTACCAGGACCTCTGACACCTCTAATGCCCCTGACACCTGCAACACCTCCTGCCTATGCACTCCTTGCTCAGCTCCTATGCAACCCCTACTGACACATATACCCCCCCAACAAATGCGACACTCCTGGGTCGCGTCTCTGAACGGCGTGTCTAATGCAACCGCTTCTAGAGGAAACGAAGGTTGGTCTTGAAGAGTGTACACCATCCTCGCGTCTTCGCTCGTCTCTCCTTCCAACGTCTCGATGCTCACCCCTCCCTCCGTCGTTTCGCCACTCATTTCTGCTGTTCTGCTGTCCTCTATTTCCTTCTGCAGCTCAGCTAATGCTGTTCCGGACCGAGGTATGAAACGGCGCAGGCGTCTGGCATGGTACCAGCCTGGCATTGGAAACCCTTCAAGGGTGGACAGCGCATATGAATTGCTGCATTGCGAGACGATGCGTCGTGGTGCAGACCACCGAGGCACGAGTTTTCGTGAGGATTTGAAGGTACTATCTAACTCATTAGCGTAGACTTGAACTAACTGTCCTGGAGCAAACATGACTTCACCTGTTCCAGATAATAAGACCTTTCGATCGAACTTGAGCTTGCGTTTGATGGCGTGGATCGTGGTGTGGAACTGTGAGTCCAAACGTTGTTGCGCCACGTAGGCTGAGTGAACGTCGACGTCGCTTTGTGACGGTGCCGAAGCTGTGACTTGCGATGGTGTGATGGTTGTGTTGATAACCAACCCCAACAACAGCTCTTTCAGCGAGTACTGGAATGCGGGAATGGTGCGTTCGTTGAGGTGTTGGATGGCTGCTTCGAAGTGATCTGGCCAGCTAGCTGGAATTTCGTCCAGGGTTGCTCCTGCGCTGGACTCGTCTTCTCCCAACTCTGGTGCGCAGGCTTGACGCAATCTCCCCAACAACTTGCTATTCGTGCCTTCCACTAACCCGTTGATCCATGGAGCATAGGCTGCTGTCACATGGTGTTGAGTGCCGTGTGCTGCGCACCATCCGGTGACATCGTGGTTGTCGAAATGGCGACCTCCATCCGTCATGAACGATTCTGGGGCTCGGAAGTCATGACGTATTTTAGTTAGACAATCAATAGTGGACTTAGCGGTTCCCTTTTTCTTGAACTTAAATCCCCAAGTGTACTGAGAGAATGTGTCAATAAAAAGAGCTATTTCAGAAAAACCGCCTTTGCCCGCAGGCATGCTCAAGTAATCAGCAACAATGAGTTCAAACGGGTGACGGCATACTATTGGGTCTAACAGTGAATGCAGGTGCATGGGTCCGAAGTTCTTGCATTTCGCGCAGTCCATGATGGCGAGGGTGATGGAACGGTTGAGGCGAGGGCTATGGATATGGTCCATGAGTTGAAGTTTGACCAGGTCTCGTCCCCAATGCCCTCTTGTCGAGTGCTCCTGTCTGGCCAGTTCAGTTGCCTCTTCTTGCGACATGCATTCTAGCCGGCTGTGTGTTCTGGTGGTGGCCTTGCTGTTGATGTACCATAGTTTCCCTTCGTCTATGAAGTAGGACTGGGTGTTGATGCGTGCACATCATTTGTCCTTTATCGATTTACCGTGGTCGAGGTTCCAGAGGGCATCTAAGGCTTCGAGGAATAACGGTTCATTCTTGAAGCGGGTCCGTAGGTTGGCGAGGTCGGAAGAAAGAGTCTGGGGGGAGATATTGTCAGTTTCGAGGCCGAATAGGTCATGAATGATACCTCTCGAAGACTCCCAGTCTTCGTTGACGGTCCAATTGCCACCGTCGTCAGTTGTTGCATCCAATGTTACAAACTGTCTGCTTAAACCGTCAGCTGCCATGTTAGTTACTCCCGCCCTGTGTCTAACGTCGACGATATGGTATGCAAGGATGCCGTCGCGCCATCGTGCATGTGCAATGTTGAGTTTGGAGCTGAGTAAGGCGTCCCGTAAGGCCTGACAATCGGTCTCAATTTCTATTGGAGATCCCCAAATGACATCTGAAAATCTGTCAAGGCCGAATTTCAGTGCGGCAAATTCTAGCAAGAACGGTTTGTACTTCTCTTCTGTTTTGGAGGTCCGTTTTGACACGTACGCGATGGGGTGAGCTGCTGTTGTTGTCTTGCCTGAGGGTAGGACTGTTGTGAACCGTTGTGCGAGGACTGCGCCGAATCCGTCTTTACAGCCGTCTGTTGTTACTATGAATGGGGTACCATCAAAGCGTGGTCCTCGCAGGACCGGTTCAGACATCAGTGCTTT